TACGCTTTATGTTGTATTGACCTGAGTGTAACGGCGTTTTGTTACGCTAGGGCGTAACGCTTCTCGCGTAATATCCAATACATCAACACGCTTCGTGTTAAAACGCCACTACGGAAGATAGTTAGCTTCGCCGTAAAGCCGATGTTTTGTATCTTAACGAGCAGTGTTCGTTGTTCGTCCGTCCAATTGGACGCCCTAGGCGCGCAAGAAGCATCTAATTTTGTTCGTCGACAAAAACTAAGCCCCTTAACGCCCCCCAGCAACCGTCCCCAGTACCGCTGTAGGCCTTCCCGCTATCCTTGTAGTCGCCATATTGTAAGCATCGCTTCCAGCACCAAGGTTATGATTGGACCCCAGTTCATGCCGAAAGCTGACGCGGTGATCGTGCCTAATGTCTGCTCAAAGCGCATGCCAAAGGTGTGGTGACCTCAGTCAAGTGAAGCAGATTCTATATGCGGAGAGCAAGTCGTCTGCTTCTAGCGCAGGTGTTGCGGTGACGTCAGAACGTCGGCGAGTTCTGATTGGCTTTGATTGGAAGGACAGTGGGTAGACCTCAATGCTTGATGCCTTGAGGTCTATACCCACTATTTTTTTTTTAATTAGCCAATAAGAGCTCGGCGTTCTGACCTCATCGCAACCTGTACAAGGAGCAGACGAACTTGCTTTCCGCATTAATTGTCCCATCAAAAAAAAAAGTTTTGCACATTTTTTTATGCGGTGCGTGAAGTATTTCATATAATATGTATTTATCGAAGCAAGTAACGATGTTTTTAGCTTTTCAAACGTGTACGTCTTGATAAATTAACATAAAGCTTATCTAGGATGCACCTACCTATATCTTAAGGGGGAAATTAGTAATGTTCCGCAAGGAGACGGGCTTTTTTTTTTGTTTTTTACGGTTCTTGAGGTGATTGCGAGTATACAGGGTGCACCAACGTAAACAAAAACAAATAATGGCCGAACTTTCGGGGGCAGTATGTTACCTCCGGTTGGCTATTGTCTTTGCTCGTTTTTGAGGGCCCTTGGTCAGTAGCGCATACTTTAAAAGCCTTACCGCCGAGGACTAACTGCGATATCCCCTGAGATTTACTTATACGGGATCGATATCCCGTTCCTGTTCCCTTGGGTGAAAAGGAAGAGCACTTGTTCCACAAGGAAATGGCAAACCTGGCGAAGGTATTATGGGCGCATCTTCAGGGCTACCTGTTCGACTAACCTGGTCCATTTACGTAAAAACGACTTAAAACCTACAAATCACTAAACGCGTTCAACTACTCTGTGAACTTCAAGGCACCGCGGCGCAGACTGCAGTATAATAATTCTTTGTTCAGCACTTCAGAACCTTAGTTGTTTGTTCGCACCGGCCAAGAAACATCAAGGAGGCGGTGTTTGCATTCATGACGTTTTATTTAACATTCCGATCGTTTCATAGCCAATTCCCACGTTATACACTAACAAAAAAAAATGAAAGCCGTTTACAACTCCCTGTAACGCAGAATTAGAGCGCAGCTCTTGAGGAGGAGGAGGGAAGGGCACTGGGGGGGTGGGTCAAGTGACCTCGGGTGACGGGGGGTCACGTGACAATGCTGATAACGTCATCAGTGACGTCACTGATGACGTCACTGGTGACGTCATCAGTGATGATGACGATGACGATGCGGATGCCGGTGACGTCACTAATGACGTCATCAGTGACGATGACGATGCGGATGCCAGTGACGTCATCAGTGGCGATGACGTCAACGGGGGTCACGTGACCTCGGGGGGTCACGTGACCTGGGTAACCATCGTGCCTCTCGTGAGGGTAACCCTAGTAACCCTAGTGAGGGTAACTCTCGTGACCCTCGTGAGGGTAACTCTCATAACCCTCGTGAGGGTAACTCTCATAACTCTCGTGACCTTCGTGAGGGGAACCCTTTTGAGGGTAACTAACCCTCGTAACCCTCGTGAGCGTTACGAGGGTTACGAGTGTAACCCTCGTGAGAGTAACCCTTGTAACCCTCGTAACCCTCACGAGGGTTACGAGGGTTACTCGCGGTTACGCCGACGCCGACGGCGACGGCGACGGCGACGCCGCCGGGAACGGGCGCCTAAGAGCTGCGCTCTAAAAATAAACAACGAACCAACTCGGTTCGAAAAAGGGCGGGAGCCAGATGAAGCTAGACTTCGCGACCGTACGAAGCCGCGCTCGCACGGCGGTGGAAGCGTGAAGGCACAAAAAGCGTGCCAAACTCTCAGCGTCACATGGCGTACGCGTATACGTTTGTTACATGCAGGCAAGATATAGGTATATCCAGATCGCCTTTGTTGTGGATTCAACAAATTAAGTGAGAAGCGTGCCGGAAATGACGTGCGAGAGCTCGGAACATCTCCGCCGTGCATGTCACGTCCGAAAGGATCAACTGTCGAGCCAGTCGAGCTCACACACAAACTTATAAAGACACTTCCAGTGAGCATGCGACACAGCGACAGATGATTTCGTCAATACGACACCGATAACACCGTCAAAAACTAAATATAACGAAACCACGAACGAATGCTGCGGGGACGGAGGACGTCGAAATAGTAAAGCTACAATTTTGACATTTTATAGAGGTGGCGTCATATACGTCAAAATAATTTGTGAGATATTCTGACGGTAAACGCCAAGATAGTCTGCCAAAAAGAAATATTACCTATTAGGGTGTCCCAAACGAACCTTCCGCAGTAAAACGAGCTGGAAAAATCGGCGCCTACTCATAGAAAGCTCACACTTTCACCGAATGCGCACTGAGCAGGTCAGTTTTACTGTGTGAACTTTCAAGGCGCAGTTCACTTCCTTTAAAAAATGAGAGCAAAGAACTTGCTAAAGTCAAAGTTGGGCGCGTTCGCAGACGACCGAGTTAGCGGCGCGATTTACTTGTGGCGCCATCTCCCGATAGGCGCAGAGAGCAAACAACAGAGTGCGTCGTCTGCTCGCTGCGTCTATAGGGGGTATGCACTGGACGCCATACTTAAAGGCGATATTTAGAGCACGTGAGTCTTTAAATTTGCATCCCCTGCCATTAAATTACTAGCCTAAAGAACTTTAATACGTCCTATGCTCGAGTACGCCAACGTTGTCTGGTTCCCCCACACAGTCTTCGGCATCAATAAGATAGAAAGAGTTCAGAGAATGGCTGCGAGGTTTATTTGCAATGAGTATAGTAGGCACGTGTCTCCCTCTGAACTTTTCGGGCAACTGGGTCTCTCCTCTTTAGAAAAAAGAGCAAAAATTGCTAGTCTTAAATTTTTATACGAACTAGCCAATGATCATTTCAACCTACCAAAGGAAAATTATCTCATTCATACAAGCAAACGATTAACACGGTACAACCATGGCAAGCTTTACGAGGAAGACATCGTTCATAATAACTGCTTTATTTTCTCTTTTTTCCCCCAAACCATTAGCGAATGGAACCATCCGCCTCAAAATATTGTTCATTCCTCTTCTATTGAAATCTTCCTCGATTACGTAGATGCCCACTTTTCATTATTAACTAATATTTTATGCTGTTTTTAAAAGCGCAATGTATCTATTGTATTGAAATTGTTTACTCATTTTTCATTCTTGACTTCTATATTTGCTTTGAATATTGACCTGTAAATTGTGTGTTGAATATTTTTTTTTCTGCTCGTAATATTTCAAACTGTACCACCCTACAACAACCCCGAATGGGGTTAGTACAGGGTGTCACAAAAGAAAATTTACACGGTCTTTTCTACCGCAAAAATAAACTAGGCATCGCCAAACGCTCATTCTCCGCCCAAAGGTAGAGCTAGAGGTCACAACCAGATGCCAAAGTTTCAGCCCGATCCGATAACTTAATCAAAAGTTATAAGTGATTTTCTGAAAAATTCAATGGGAAAATGGAGCCCATTTTTGCTCGTTTTCGGTTTCTGGTGCCTTAGAGCCCCATGTGTTTGAAAACTCCGTCGGCCGCCATTTTCCCATTGAAATTTTCAGAAAATCACGTATAACTTTTGATTAAGTTATCGGATCGGGCTGAAACTTTGGCGTGTGGTTGTGACCTCTAGCTCTACCTCTGGGCGGAGAATGAGCATTCGGCGATGCCTAGTTTATTTTTGCGGTAAAAAAGACCGTGTAAATTTTCTTTTGTGAGTATTGGAAATAAAAATAAATAAAAAAAACGTATTTATTAAAGGAATGGGATACATCACGATTTCTCGATAAAGGCATCCAATCGTGACGGAGGAAGGGGATCATGAGAAGGGTAGGGGAGGAGGCTAAATGTAACAGGCGATCCCCGATGAGCGGACGAAACTAATCAGGGAATCGAGAATGTGTTTGCGGTGCGGGTACTCGAGCCTGGGGCGGGTCCAGTCCTCGTACGTCGCTGGTCTGGCCTCTTCCGGAAGTGAGTTTATGGCGTCGTTACGATGCTCCGCGACTCCTCGCACGTCCAGACGAGATGCTCAGAACAAGCTCACACGAATAGGCTTCTAAGACCGGCGATCTTGATGGTGCGGAATGCACGTTGCAAAAGAATTGCGCAAGCTCGCCGTCAGCACGCGCTCAGTAGCCGCGCACACCGCTATGGCCGCCAGTAAAAACTTCCTATTGGGAGATGGTGCCACAAGTATTTAAAGTAGCGAAGTTAACTTGGCCGTCTGCCAACGCGCGCAACCTTCACTTTGACAAGTTTTTTGCTCTCATTTTTTAAACGAAGAAAATGGCGCCTTGACATATCACACGGTAAGACTGACCTGTTCAGTGCGCATTCGCAAAAAGTTCGAGCTTTCTGTGTGCAAGCGCCGATTTTTCCGGCTCTTTTTACAGCGTAAGGTCCGCTTGGGACACCCTCTATGCCCAATAACCAGCCGCTTCTTTTTCTTCTCTTTTCTTCTTTTTTTCCTTGCTGTTATCGATTTAACCTCCAGAAGATGAAGGGAGAAGTAGGGAGAGATATCGGGACCTGTCGATGTGGACTGCTGATGTGCATTCTCATTTTTCGTCACAGGCCGTGCTCAATTGTTCGACGAACCTAAAGAAGCCCATCCTATACTCTCTGCTGCACGCCTGGCTTGGAAAGGGACTTCTCACCAGGTATGTTACAAAAAAAAAAAAAGGAAAAGAAAAAAAAATGCTTGATATATTGTTTTACCGAACTTCCACAATCCTCAAACGCCTTCGTTTTAAAGTATTTTTATTTATGTTCCACACACATGAAGCAAGTTCTCGTTTCACTCTGACTTACTCCTTCTGTGGCAGGGCTGGGCAGAGATACTCCAAAAAGTATTCGAGAATACAAATACTAAGATACATGCGTTTTTGGGCCAAACTAGAGATACTGAGATTCATTTGCCTTTTATGCAACGGAATATTTCTGAGGTACTTCCGCAATAACGGCGAAAAAGTATTCCGGAATACAGATACGGATACTTATAGAAATACATTTGTTCCCGAACGGTGCTGCGTGGAGAGGGTGGAGTTCGCGGCGAATGCGAAAGGTAATTTAAGCTTGTGCTCTTCGTTTTGTGCCATTTTGTGCACTACACATTACCTCAAACTCTTGATCTATCATTGATTCCGCTAAAAAAAAACATGTCACCCCCGTTGAACCACATAGTTACAGAACGGTAAAGATTGCGTACCATGCTTGACAAAAGGCGTCTGCCCGAAATGAACCCAGTTTTGCCGTAAGGCCGCATCTCAAACTGTCGTCTTATATGCTTGTCACTCATAGTGTGGGGAGATTGGACAACAGGGCTGTACTTTTTTTCCACTCAACTCCTTTACAGCGTTCGTTCCGCTAAATTGGAAAGAGTGGAGGGCTTTGTGAGAGGAGCTAATTTTGTTATTCGTGCAAGTAGTCTTCTTTAAACCACAGGTTTTTTTATTGCTGGTGACTGAGATGAATCATGTTATAGGGCAGGTTTATACTACAAATTCCGAAGCAAGTTACACGAAATACATGTTTTTATCCTTTAAATTTACCTTAAAAAGGGAAACAAATGTAACGAGATGCCTAAGTCGGGCAAAGTATCGCGATACAAGCGATACATTGTAAATGTATTTCACTACTGAAATACAAACGCATTTTACAAATGTATCTCGATACAGATATACAGATACTCCTAAGATACTATCGCGATGCATTTGTATCGCGATACCGCCCAGCCCTGTTCTGTGGGAACTTTGTATCTGCGTTTCTGACATCCAGCGGACGAGGCAGCTAGGCCGGCCACCTCATCCTTTGAAGCTCACTTTTCAGCCTTGCGACGTCCTTTTATTTATTTATTTTTTTTATTTTTTTAGTGCATACTGCGGACCTTCAAGATCCAAGCAGGCTGCGCGAAAAAAAATAAATAACGCTACACAAAACAATGTTTGAACATAAAACAAGAAAACAAAGGGGAAAAACACTGCTGCACAGAAACTCAAGACAAACAAAATATAGATATATCAAAATCTAGTAATTTACAAAGTTATAACAATAACCCACCAAAATATACAACGACAAAGATTAGAGTGATACTACAAAGCTGAGAGGTCCATCAAAATATACATTGACAAAAAGATTACAGTGAAACTACAAAGCTGCGAGGGTCACTGAGATAGACCAAAAAACATTCCAATGATAATGCAAAAAACGAAAGCCGTTTACAACTAACTCCCTGTAACGCCAAATTAGAGCGCAGCTCTTGAGGAGGAGGTGCCAAGGCCACAAAGGTCACATGAGGTCAAGTGACCTTGGTGGGGTCACGTCACCCCCAAGGTCACGTGGCCCCCTCCCCAATATCACGTGGGGTCACGTGCCGGGGGTCACATGAGCTGGGGGTGTCACGTGACCCCCCAAAGAAATTTTTCCGCTAGATTTAGCGGGGAAATTTTTCCGCAAAATTTAGCGCGGAAATTTTTCCGCTAAATTTAGCGGGAACATTTTTCAACTAGCGGGCAAAATTTTTTTGCTAGATTTAGCGGGGAAATTTTTTCGCTAGATTTAGCGGAGAAATTTTTCCACTAAATTTAGCTGTGACATTTTTCCGCCAGATTTAGCGGGGAAATTTTTCCGCCAGATTTAGCGTGAAAATTTTACCGCTAGATTTAGCGGAGAAATTTTTCCGATAGATTTAATGGGGAAATTTTTCTGCTAGGATTAGCGGGTAAATTTTTTCCGCTTGATTTAGCGGGGAAATTTTTTCCGCTAGATATAGCGGGGAAATTTTTTCCGCTAGATTTAGCGGGGAAATTTACCCATAATGAACCGCGCGGTTACAATAAATAAGTGGAATTCATTGCCCCTGGAGCTGTTTTCATCATCTGTTTTAGAGCGCAGGTCTTAGGCGCCCGTTTCCGGCTTGAGCGGCGTCGCCGTCGCCGTCGGCGTCGGCGACGGCGACGCCGCTCAAGCCGGAAACGGGCGCCTAAGACCTGCGCTCTAAAACAGATGATGAAAACAGCTCCAGGGGCAATGAATTCCACTTATTTATTGTCCTTGGGAAATATTAAAACTTAAATGTATTAGTACGTGCGAAATATAGGCGTTGAAGAGTAGCGGTGATTCTGTCTTGTTTGCCTGGTTGAAAGTGGACTAACGTGAGAACAGAAATTTAGAAAAACCTTAGAATTGACAAGTTGGTGTAAAAACATTAAACGGGAAATCTTACGTCGGTGTTGGAGGGCAGGTATATTATTTGTCTGGCATTAGTAACGATGGGGATGGGAGCGTTTGCATTTACCATAAACAAAGCGAACAGCGCGTCTTTGAACTTTTTCTAGAATGTCGGAATGTCTTTTTTTTTTGTATATATGAATCCCATGCTATGGAACAATATTCAAGTTTGGGTCAAATAAAAAAAGTGTAGGCTAACAATCCATGGTAATAAAGCCCGAGACTCAAGAACACAGAAGGGGTGTTGTGTTCGTACCCTTCTCAGTTCCTGAGTCTCGGGTTTCATTACCATGAATCATCACCAGCTCGCTTGTTTTTTAAGTATTATTGAGGCTAACAATCTAAAGTTTGGGAAGGGGGGGGGGCGTTCTTAAGTTTATGCCGTACAAAAGCAAGCTTGCGGAAGGCTCCCGAAGAAACTTTATTCACGTGATCGCGATCGCACCAACTCAGGGTGACAACCCCACATCTCTACGCTTTGCTTCGACAGGAGCTTTTTTTCTGGCGACACTGCAAGAATTCGACCGTTCTGCGTCATTTCTTTTCTTGTCTCTCCCAAAATGATGCTTATCAGCCAGGGACTTGCCTCTGTTGATAGAGTCTGTACAGTGGCGTACAAATAAAGATGATTGTGGATAAAGGAAGTCCATCTGCCCTTCCGCGTTTGCCACTTTTCAAGTCATGGAGATGAAAGGTATGAAACTGGGTATATGCGATGGTCTAAAACCACACACAGCTAAATTCATTCCGGAATAGCGTTCAACCGAAGGTGTCGCCAATTAAGCCGACGGTATTGCAGACGTTAAATCTTTTGCCCAAAATAATTCTTGACCCACAAGAGGAGCTCCTGTGGGTCAAGAATTTCGGGCGAAGGACTTAAAAGTAGTTTTTCGAAGAATCGAGTAAAGTGATGCCGAGTAAGTTGACTTCTTCAGAGTCAGTGAGAGCTTGAGAAACCCAAGTGTCTCGAACATGATCGCTCCACCGCCAGTGAAGCTGCGAGATTTACTGGTGGGAACGCCGAGAACAAAGCACGAAGCAAGAAGAAAATGTCAAGCTGCAAGTGAAATGTGACCGGCATGGCTGTCAGAAATCAGCAACACAAAATTACGGTTCACGCGTCAGAAGAAGTGCTCGAGGTATTTGAAGGACTTGTCGTCCATCTGCCGTTGATTAGCAACAAGACGCACAAAGCAAACTTCTCGAGTCATACTAAGGTTGAAAACTGGGCTAGTTGGTAATCGTTGTACATAATGGAATAAAACAGCGCGAAGATAGAAATAGGAAGAGACAAACCAGACAGGACAGAGCGCTGTAAGGTTGAAAGCTGGGCTAGTTGGTAATCGTTGTACATAATGGAATAAAACAGCGCGAAGATAGAAATAGGAAGAGACAAACCAGACAGGACAGCGCTCTGTCCTGTCTGGTTTGTCTCTTCCTATTTCTATCTTCGCGCTGTTTTATTCCATTATGTTCTCGAGTCATTTTTCTCCGGTGGGAAACTAAACAATTCCGTCAGCAGCACACATGCGCAGCATACCCTCGTGACGTTCACAACTTTATTCTTTTTTTTTTTTTTCAACACGTGTATTGTTTTTTACCTGCTTTTTGACCATTTTGTAAGAATATTTTCCTGTGATTTTCACAATTGACAACCCACTTCCATCGACAGGAAACGCGTGGGATAGGTGAGTTTCCAAGTTTTGCGTAAACTTGAACTTCAGCGAGTTACAAAACTTTCAGGTCGCTGCATTCCGGCATTCCCGTAATAGTGGTTGCTTCGGGTTCGCGGGTAGACCACTCGAAATGGGGCTTCAAAAAAAGAGTTTATATGTAATGTTTTGCGGCCATTTCAAGTTTTAAAAAAAAAGTGTTCGCTTCAGTTGGTTCTTTACTATGTTCAATATCGTACTTCAAATTGCGACGGGCTGTGGTATCGATGCCAAAGAAACGATTTTTCATTTGATTTATTTTATAAATAAACCATTCATTTAAACATGCGAGGGCTAATGAAGGACCTCTTATTGTGGAATTACCGTAATACTTCAGAGATGGCCCACCTAAAATCGAAAGTAAATCGGATGAAAATAAGGTGTAAACTATTTGTAGCTGTGCTCTATATAAAACAAAAGGTTAAAAAATTCTAGTTCGAAATATTGTGACTCTCAAAACTTCTGAGCGCAGAAAGGGGCGATAAACCAGAGACGACGACTGTCCTTCCCGGTCAGCAAAGTTCGCTTATGTCCCGCTGTGGTTAAGTAACACCGTTTTTGCCGAGGTCACCCTTGGCCAGGGCCCTGCAATTACTAAAAGTGAACTGCCTCTGGGTGTCTCAAAAAAAAAAAAAAACATATCATGCCAAAAATATGAGTGGGCTACCTTTCGGGGGTGGGAACCTCTCGGGATTTTACGGAAAGATATAAATATTTACAAAACAAAAATCTCTGCCGGTCTGTGACTGTTTTCTTTCTTCGCCAGCCTAAACTGTTTGTTTTGTTTTGTCGTTGTTGATTGTTGTTTTTTCTTCTTGCATCAAAAATTTAGTCGTTTCTTGACACTTAATTATTTTATCCATGGCACGTCCAGCAAACTGAGGAGCTCGTTGCCTTAATGGGGATAACCGAACACAGACTGTTTGATACTAACGCGGCCAGCCATAGTGCCGGACTGCTCAACAGGTTTAGGGTGACTTATTATCTTTCCGCTCTCTGCTTCTCCGTTCTTCGATGTTTTATCGAATAATCCGGAAATTTCCTTGGCTGCAGAGAGGTAATAAGATGCTCGAAACGAGCCACGCACCGCGCTCGTTAGGATATGCCACTGACAGTAACTTTGCTAGGCTGCTAGAGTTTGGGTTCTTTTTTGGTCGGTGGCATGTCGGCTCGGTAAGTCACCAGGCCAGCCCGAGAACATCGATAGAACTACGGTGGCCAAAGAAAGAGAGAGAGAGAGAGATGTAATTATACGGTGCCCTCGCTGCTCACCCGACAGTATCGTCAAGTCAAGAACACCGAAGAGAAGAGGCGAGACTAAGCGGAACAACAATTAATAACTTAATACCAAAAGGAGAAAAATACAACGAAACACAAATAATCATAAATGCCCGCATAATTTTTTCAAGTTCTTTCCAATCCCAAGATTGAGCTGCCTCCCTGTTTTTCTTTTTAATTGACTTTAAAAACTAAAGTAACTTTTGGCCAATTACGGTCCTCGTTTTTTTTTTTTAATTTTAAATTGGATTAAACCTGTCTTACCGTCAGGTGTTGCAGGTTGAGAGAAACAGTTCATTTTCTTTATTTTTAACTCTCACTAAGAAATTGAGTAATTGAGTATCGTCCACAGAAGCTATCTCTCGAAGAATGTACGAAGCTCGCACATTTAAGATATTTTTGTTTTATATAACTAACAGCTAGTTGTCAGCACACCAAATGAAACGTTGGACAGTCCGGAAATTTCGTCCCACTATCACACGAGCTAAACGTTCCGCAATTGCATCGTTCACTCTGCAATGAAGCCATTTTACCACTTCAAGTCGCTCGATGCAGGAGCATACGACAGGCGCTCGTCGTTGTTTAGCGCACAAGACTCGGCATGTTCAATCACACGCCCTAAAATAAACGTATGTGAGAACCCTTTCTTGCAGGACACGAAAGAGCCGATCACCGCGAACAATAAAAGAGACACAGCGAACGATGGAACTCGAAAGACGATTCGACCAAAAGATAGGTCTGGTTCCTTGCCGGATCCTGCAAATAAGTAAACTGCGGAAATACATTTGCAAAACTCTGCAGACAGTTACATTGCCGCGTTTAAATTTAGCGGTCTTGGGTCCAGCAAAACTTAGCAGATGGAGTCAACGTGACAATGTGACGCCACGTGGCACCATGACGTAACATGACACAAAATTCACCCTAAATTTAGAGGGAAAACTGTGACGTCATAACAAAGTCACGTGACACTGCGACGTCGTGAGACGATCACAACCCTGTGACTTCCCGTTAAACTTAGCGGGAAAATTGTGACATCATGACGATGTCACGGACATTGGGATATCATGTGGCGATCACAGCACCGTGACTCCTCGCTAAATTTAGCGGGAAAAGTGTCACGTCATGACGCCGTCACGTAACACTGCAACGTTGTGTGACGATCACAACATCATGACTCCCCGCTAAACTTAGCAGAAACTTTTTCCGCTAAATTTAAAAGGCTGCGACATGGCCACGACATGGTACACGACAAGGTGCACGAAACGCACGCGAGTACCGCTCCTCGCGCGCACCTCGCTAATAACGGCTATCTCCGTAAAATGCGCTGTGAGCAGGGACCACAAACGTGACATTACACTCTTTTATTTTTTCTTCAGCAGGAACGCGAACTCACAATGTTTATTTTAGAGCTCACTCGCTCGGTACTGAGCTGTCTGTCTGCCATGCGCCTTGACCGAGTCGGCCAATGGGCTGAGTGTGCCGTGCGCAGCTCCGGTTCCAAGTGGCGGTCCCGGCGGAAGATGCTGACGCCAGCCTTCCACTTCCGCATCCTGGAGGACTTCCTGCCCATCATGAACGAGCAGGGCGAGATCTTCGCCAGGGCCCTCCAGGGACACACGCACGCCGTTTTCGACATCACCAAGTTCGTGACGGCCTGTACGCTGGACATCATCTGCGGTACGTGTACGCCTAGCCCTTTGAAGACCGCTATATCCTGCTCAAAATGTACATAACGACTTTTTTTTTTCTTTTTTTGCCTGACTGTAATTATTTGTTATCAATCTTTGCACTTACCGCACCTAGGGTGACGGTACTTAGTTGGTAGAAGAAAAGGAGCCTGAAAATCGAGATCCCACGTGGAAGACTGCAAGACGTTGCTTCTTAAAGGGCCTCTGACAAGCCAAAAAAATTCAAAGCGCCCACCAGTGCCCTGGTGCCGGGGCGATCAGAAGGGAGGCATCGACCTACGTCACTAAAAGTGGGTCCGCCGGAAGTCACGTGAGTTTCACTCCTCGTGCTCTCCACGACCGTGCCTAAAACTCTCTTTTTTTCTCTCTCTCTCTCTTTTTTTTTTTTTTTTATTCTGGCCTTTTTTACGAGCGATCGTAGAAAACGAAGTTTCAGTTCCACTAGCTTTTTATCGCTGCACCGTTGGTTAGTTTGCGTGCTGTAAGTGTTGAGGACGTAGAGTCAGTGGATCGACGTGATGGAGGTTAATGATGAAAGCGTTGCGGGTACAAGCCAGTGAACGAGCGCATACCATCAGTCCGATGGTACAGAGCTATACTGGGCACAAAACAAGCTATCGAGCTTCAAAAAAAAATTTTAGAACGCTCGCAGAAATTAGGATTGCTAGCATACGACACGCCCAATCGCACTGCTGAAGATTCAAACACCGAGGTCGTCGAATCATCGGATACTCTCCTGGCTGCAGATGCCTGCCGTCTAGAGAATACGAACTGGTGAGTGTACGAAGTACAAGTAAACGTCGAGCTTAAAGTACGTGTTTTGTCTAGAACATAAGTAGAACTTGTTTACTAGGTTCACTGACTCCTCTTCTACCTTTACCTTGTCTGCTTGAATTGCTCGCAGAGGTGCGGAGAATAACAAAACGATGCTTCCCTTCTGACCGCCCCGACAGCTTGCGGTACATTGTTACGTCACAGGGCACTGGCAGGCACTTTAAATTGAGCTTCGTATTTCTATTTTTTATTTAAAAAAAAAACTACGCAACTTTTTTTTGTGAAACCTTTTATTTTTTTTTTTTTTATGTCCTGATACACCATCTTAAATTTATTTTTTTCCGGCGTGTCAGAGGCTTTTTAAAATATTAGTTTAATTATCCTTTGTAACAAAATTTTATGAAACCACGAGAGATTGATAAGGCGAGCGAGCAAGTTAGTATCAATTAAGGATAAGTATAAATGCTAATTCGAACGATTGTATAGTATCAATCTAAGCTATACCTTCATTAAGGGACTAGGATTACACTACGTTCTGATATTCAACACTAAATTCCATTGCAAGTCGCGTCCATAAAAAATCATTATTTGAATTCTTAATTTATATAATTTATACAATAACAAAAAGCTGCAACTTTTTTTGTGTGTAGACGGTTAAGTGCCTATTGATTCTCTACAAAATTGAGAATGATGTGTAGTCAAATTGTTCTATAATGTCTAAAATCATTTGCGGTAAATTATGCGGAGCTTGGAATATTATGCAGTCAAGTTCAGCCTTCCCCTCTATTGGTTGCGCTATGCGCTAAGAAAAGTGGTGTTCTAAAAAGACCAAGTCACCATTTCGTCATTAATTCACGGAAGAAGAGATGTGGTCGGATAACTATGAAAATCTCGACCGCTTCCCAGAAACCGCCATGGGAGTCAAGGTCAATGCTCAGACGAACCCAAGTTCGGCCTACGTTAGCAATATTTACAGGTAAGAACTCCCGCGAAGTTCCAATATTCCAATGCATTCTCAAGAAACACGCACAACCGCGAGCACTTTGCATGGAATGCTACACCAGTACGCAAGGATATGAATCTATAAAAAATTGGTAATGAAGTTTCTGCGAATAAAAACCTACATGTTTGCCGCGGGTCCGTGTTTATTCTGTGCCAACAGACTTTTTTATGTTCTGGCGATTGAGATTTCGATGAGAAAGAAATAAGATAGGAAATAAAAATCTGGGGGCGAACAGCGAGCAGAAGGTGCGGGGATTTGAAGAGGACTACGAACAGCGCGATGGGCTGTACAGTTACCCACTTTTAGTTAGAGGGCGATTTCAAAGGTGCAAGTAATAGGCTGCTGTTCTAAGTCGACGTTCAGAAATGTTCTTGATGAAGTAAACTCTTCTGCAGCATGCACGTGAAGGTAACTGGCCGGCTTGGAAGTTGCAGCTCGCACGAACACGAGGTGCTATGGATATAGCTGTGGAGGCTTCAGGAGTACGGAGTTGTAAAAGTCACGGGCGGATTTAAGAAAGGGAAGGGAGGGGGGGGGGGGGGGGGGGGGGGCACCGCCCCCTTTCTTAAGCTTCCAAGCTTCCCAAGGTCACTTTCTTTAAATAAAAAATCAACATGATTAGTTTTTGGTGGCATAGCAAATATCAGGTCAACAAAATAGATCTGGGTAACAATTCACCCGTGACGCCATCTCTGTAGACCCCCCCCCCCCCTCCCCAGCTAGCCAAATGCACCCCCCCCCTGAAGAGTGACCCATAATTCCGCCCCTGGCTGGAAGCCAACTACAGCTTGTACACTAACGCTTCGACCTCACCATGGGCGATCGCATAAATCGGGTTCTTAACGTATCGCGCTAAGATTTTCTACATACGTGACCGAAGGTGGTGGATGCTTTCACTAATAGAGGAAACATTGGCTTATCCGAGTAAATCTCGAAAAATCAAAAACTATGTTTTCCCTATACTTTGTATGTACACTTTAATATGTTGTGTCACTGTAGCGCTTATTTCGGCCAAATGAAGTGAATAAAATGTAAGCCAATTTTATTTCCTTTTATTTTGTTTGATTTTCAGTTGTAATAAACGCCAGAATAGCCCAGGACGATCATTTTTTGAGAGAAAAGAATTAACGATCATTCTTTTATAGACAAACCAATTTGTTTTGTTTTTTTGTTTTTTTTTAGGTTTTATGTATTCATACTCACAGTTACAGAATGCACCACCTTCGACAACTTCTGCAGTAAAACGGTACCGAAGATGGCGTTAGTGTACACGCGGTATAGGCTTGAACGTATAAATACAGAAAGTGTTTTGCGGATCCTCCAAAATTTAATTTAGCGGCACACAACTATAACCACCGACAGCTTAAGAAACGCGGGGCGTAACCAGTCCGCGGCATCTCATTATAATTCCGCGGCCAATAAGGTTGCGGCACTAACTAGCCCGACAGGATCATCAAAAAACCAATCACGAAGAGCGAAGATGAGAAGCCACGTGCCGCGTTTCTAAAACCGTCGGGTGACTACAAAGTGAGACAGAGCGGACTTCCGAACGTGGCGCTGCCACCGACCAACTGTTTCCTTCTCTTCCGTCCCGTCGTGGAGAGTGGGCAGCAACTTCATCAACCGGGCGGTGCGGCCCTGGCTCTGGCTGGACTTCCTGTACCTGCTGACGCCCCAGGGACGCCTCTACCACCACGACATCCAGGCCATTCACAAGTTCACAAAGAAGGTCTGGCCCAAACGCGCAACGCCAGCGACTTGACAAAACATTCGTTATTTATTTATTTATTTATGTACACAAGTTAACCCGAGACAGGGGGGAAGAGAGACACGGAAGGAACACCTGCACCACACAACGTTTCCTTCCCTGTCTCGGATCACGTTAACACGTTTCACCGGCTCGCTTGTGCGCTCACCCTTCTTTTAAGTCGTTCTTTGCGTCGAACTGACAGCAATGCGGGTTGCAAACAGTTAAGTGTCCTAGTATCATTGCCGCGCCGGCTTTTAGTAATGCTTCCTTTTGTTCAATTAACAAAATAACGGGCTATTTTCAATGGCGTTCAGACAATTTCATTGGTTGTTGCGTTCAGAATGACCGAGATAGCAGCAGGACAACTTCGCCTAGTGAACTGCACGCCGTACGCGATGTGGCGCGCGATGCAAGAAGTAGCTTCGTGCGGCAAATCTTGAGTCACGGTTGTGCCAATGTCCTGGTCGTTGCCGTCGTCTCGGTTGATGTGGACTCACGCGACGCCTATGTGTGATCCAGCCACAACTTTCGAAACCTGCCATGTACTTTTATTCAACGCCATAAGGCGCCACGGTTACCGCCGTCTGCGAACGAGCGGCGGGTATGTGGCAATTGTTCGTTCTTTATTGTGTTCTAGGTAAAACTAGCGTGCACAAAGTAGTGGAAGTTTGCCAAACACCGCCAGATCGCCAAGGCGCTTCGTATGGACGCGTCGGATACAAAACGACAGCGACGCCGTGTTCCGCGTGTGCTTGCAAACAAACATTTGCTAGCGGAAATGAGCCCGAAACTGTGCAGAAGCGAACTTTTACTGATACTTATTAAGGCGAAAGCCTTGCTTGTCCCACTGAGCGAAAAAGCGGCGTATATGGCCATAAAAATACGATTGAGCGGCACGCGCCACTCAGTCGTATGCTCACTTCTAGGACGGCCATACTTGTCACATTGCGCGAAAAAGCGGCGTCATTGTGCCCGAAAGATGACTACAAAAATACGACATCAAGCACGCGCCGCTCACGCTCAAGTGCGGGAGCGTGATGTTACCGCCGGAGCGCCGTGTGCAAAAGGTACGCTTCGGAGTCTATCTGTGCTCGTTCTGTGCTTAGTGTGATGGACTGTGAGGCGACCGCGTCTACATCTACGGCCTCGACATCGGCAGCAGCGTCTACATCTGCGGCGGCTTCCGCAGGCAAACGTGGCCGCCCACGAAAATACGCCACAGCCTCCTTAAGCGTCCTCCCCTAGGCGTCGTCCTCTAGTCGTCCTTAAAGGGACCATGAAATGACCTTTTTACTTTTTACAGATAACTTTTACATTAAACCGTCAATGTTCACTGAATGCCGAACAGGCATCCGTTTTCGTCTCGGTTTATTAACTTCTACACAAAAAATTATTGAAATATCGACTTTTTCATTCTCTCCAACTGACCGCAAGAAGAAGCCATGACGTAGGCCGTTTCCGGAACCGGAAGTTCTCTCGGCAGTAGGAGAATGGGAGTGTTACCGGCAACGAGTTGGGGTGCGCCGGTGGGTTTTACTGCGCTGATGTCACCGACGTATTTCCTGAATCGGCGCCTCTCATCGCCGCATCGCAGCTGAGCGAAATTCAATGAGATACGTTGCGCTACAGCGACAGCATGGGACTAGTCCCATACGCCGGTATGCCTGTTGGGAAGTACAGCGAGTCTTCCGGTGAAGACTCCAGAAGTCAACCACCCCGTCATTGTTGGCAGAAGGGCCGGCCCGTGTCAGTCGTTTGCAAAGCGACGTAGATGGCGTTTTTCGCGGCCTCGGAGATGCAGGAGCGAGCCGACGTCAAAAAAGATACGTTTGAACTACGAGTGTCAGCAAGAGCCACGTAAATACCTGTTTACAATCGGAGCGGACGCGCGCGCTTGATGGAAGTCTTGTATTCGCGCTGTTTGTAAGCGCTTCGGGACCGTTCTTTTACGATTGCAACTCGATACTGACGCGACACTCGGCAAAGAAAGGTTGGACCGGGGTTGTACGTATACCTCCCACGAACTGTTATAGCTCGACAGTGACGTGCAGTCTGTCAGAATAAAAATGGCATACCAATAACAAAGTGTACATACCGTGTTACGAAGGTAATCCATACGGCGTTTATTTCAGCTCTATATCACACAAAACAAGAAGATAGAATCGACGAGAGTCCCTTTTCGACGAGTGTTCGTCAACACTGCCTCGGAAAACAAGGGGAAGAGATTGACCTCACCTCTTAATCTAGAATTGAGGTCAGTGATCAAACTATAATACGGGAAGGGTCCACAAGGGTCTCGCGGGCATATTCCATTTAGCACGCCAGCCGATCGTAGGCAGACGGTCTTGCGACGAAGCAACGCAGCGCCGAGTCGGAATGCCTGTCGCTTTCAGCGAGTCAGTTACTCCAGCTGCCACCAGTCGGCGCGCCCTTCGCGCGCTTTCCGGGCCGCCATAGCCGACCTTCAGTTCCTCGCCGTTGCTCCGCGTTGTGTGCTACGCGGGCCACTACCGGAGCTCCGTTTTCGTGTTCATTTACGTTCCGCGTTGAAATCTTGCACTTTCTTTGGGTCTTTTCGCTATTTAGAACTGTCATTTAATCATTTGATATTTATATTTCGACATAGCTCTTGTATTTTCTTATTTATGGAATGGAATCGGAATGCGAATGGATCGACGATACTTATGAGGCTTCAATGACCATGTAAGTTCATCCCATTCTTACGCTTTTGTCGCTAATAAAGGACAGTCAACACTATTGCGACATATGTAAATTCCAACTGACGCAGTAAGGCTATCGCAGTCGTGCTTCTCGCTGCATGTGCGCGCTCGTTTCCGTAAAGCCGACCCGCATGTCAGCGATTTAGCGTGCGACGAGACGAGCGACGGAGATTTTTTTTTTTACTTACAAATACTGTCGCCTGTTGCATCGCTCGTTTTTTGGGGTTTTTTGAAAACGTCGCTCACCGTCTTGGTCGCTTGCTCCGTCACTTCCATGCGATTTTCCTCGTCGCGCGACTGACTGAGCGACAGCAAAGCGGGTCGCCGTCGCTTATCTGGTCGCTCGCCAAATCGCTTACATGCGGTTTATACTCGATTAATTTCCATGCACACAGCAACGAACCATTGGCGCCTCGATATTAAGTATAAACCGCGTGCAAGCGATTCGGCGAGCAACGAGACAAGCGACGGTGACCCCCTTCGCTGTCGCTCGGGTAGTCGCGCGACGAGGCAAACCGCATGGAAGCGACGGGAGCAAGCGACCAAGACGGTGAGCGACGTTTTCTAAAAACCCAAAAAACCGAGCGATGCAACAGGCGACAGTGAGAAATCTTCGTCGCTGACTCTCGTCGTTGTCGCCGTCGCTCGTCTCGTCGCACGCTAAATCGCTTACATGCGGGTCGGCTTTACGGAAACAAGCGCGCACATGTAGCGAGAAGCACGACTGGATAGCCTTACTGCGTCAGTTGAAATTTGCATATGTCGCAATGGTGTTGACTGCCTTTATTAGCGAGAAAAACGTGAGAATGGGATGAACTTACATGGTCTCTGAAGCCATAATCGTGTATCGTCGATCCGTTCGCTGTCCGATTCCATTTCATAAATAAGAAAATACAAGAGATATGTTGAAATATAGATATCAAATGATTAAATGAAAGCCCGAAATATTGAAAAGACCTAGAGAAAACACACGATTTCAACGCGGAACGTAAAAGAACGCGAAAACAAAGCTCCGGTAGGGGCCGGTGCAGCACACAACGCAGAGGAATGGCGAGAAACTGAAGGGCGGCTATGGCGGCAGGGTCACGTGACGCCAAGATGGCGGCGCCCATGAAATGTTGCCTGAAAGGGTCTATACGCCTCGCAAGTGGGCTAATTTTCGTCTTCTGCGCATGAAAAAGGAAGTAGCGGTGACGTCAGAACGCCGAGCCCTGATTGGCTGATCGCGACCCCCTATCTGAGCGTCGTCTGCTCCTTTGCAACGTCGTCTGCTCGCGACGTCGTCTTCGTCTGTCTTACCTTTCCTGCGACTTTCGGAAGTCGAGCGAGCTTGACTTCGCCTTTCAGAGCCGGGGGCAGACGAAATAACTCAAGCGGTACGCCGTTTTCGTTTAACAACTAGCCGACGCGCATCAAGGAGGGAAGTCAAAGGACTCACTGGCGAGGTGTCCCGAGGCGCCGAGGTTTGTTTGCTAAGAACCGAGAGGTGAGGGTGGTTAGTGTCCGCAAGTTCCCTCCCAAATACTTTTTCCCTCCTTTCGTGTGCGGCGAGATTTCTCACTCTTTAACGGCGTTGGCGGGTTGGCGCAGTTAACGTCGTCTGCTTTACGTCTGCTAGTCAAAGCGATGGCTTTACCTTTCCTGCGTCTGTCGGAGAATCACCGCTTTTTTACAGGCGAGATTCACCGTTGCCTCGGAAAACAAGGAGATGACAAGAGGAAGAGATTGACCTCTTAATCTAAAATTGAGGTCAGCGATCAAAGTATAAGACGGGAAGGGTTCACAAGGGTCGCACGGGCATATTCCATTCAGCACGCCAGCCGGTCGTGGGCAGACGGTCGCCGAGTCGGAGTGCCTGCTAGGCCTATCTGCCGTGCTCGCTTAATCGTTGTCGGTGGAATCGTGGCCGTTGGAGCTTTTCCCAGGTGTTTGTCGATCCAGCGTTCTTGTTCCTCGTGGTCTGTTTCAAGTGCTTTTTACTTTTTTCTTGCTGCTTGAAATCGGGACGCGTGAGAAGCGCACGTAGAAAAATAGACGTCTGTTAATCGTCGTGACCGCGGCCGCTGTTGGCCATGCTGATTTGATTAAGACAGCTTCGGAGCTGTGGTGGGATTTCGTCGTAACCTGCGCAAAACTTACGAAAATTTGGTCTGGTGAATACGAATTTGTTCTCAAGTTTTGTCTTACGCACATTTTTGGCGTAAGATCGTTTCGTGAATCTGCCTCTGCGCTTCCGAAAGTCGCAGGAAAGGTAAGACAGACGCAGACGACGTTGCGAGCAGACGACGTTGCAGAGGAGCAGACGACGTTCAGATAGGGGGTCGCGATCAGCCAATCAGGGCTCGGCGTTCTGACGTAACCGCTACCCCCTGCGCAAGGAGCAGACGATCTTGCCCTCCGCATACGCTTCGTCGGAGTCGGTGGATCCAGCGTTCTTGTTCGTCGTGGTCTGTTTTAAGTACTGTTTTCTTGCTGCTTGAAGTCGGCACGCGCGGGAAGAACACGTAGAAAAATAAACGTTCAGTCAGTCAGAGTTTTGAGAGGAAGGAAAACAAAGAAAATAAACGTTCGCCGCTGGCCGCCACCCAAGTAACTGTCGGCCCTGCCCTACTGCGCACGCGCAGTAGTTGCTTCGTTTACCACACGATAGATGGCGCCTGGCTCTCAGCATTATCAAATTTGGCAATTTTCGCCACACATCTCTAATTATGCTACAAAATGTGGATCTGAATATTATTTAACAAAACTTTTAGGAAACATTCGCCGGCTATTTATTGTTTACGATCGCGGTGCTGGTGAGGTAGGCTCTTACCCAATAGGCGACCTGGATTTGGCTGACGTGCTCCATTTCCGCGGATGCATCGTAGTGAACAGGCGAAGGAAGGAAGGCGCAAAAGAGTCCAGTTTTCTTTTAAAAGTTCTATAGCAAATAATATTTTTGGCTCCCTATTTTTGTGTTTTTGTGTTTCTTTTCACACCTTTTACGACGTGCGGTGGGTCGGTTACAAGTCAAGAAGGTAGGAGAAGCTCCTCCCACAAGTGTGATGCGCCCGTTTCAAATCTCTCCGCAGTCGAAAGAAGAGTTCACTGGAAACGCTCCTTGTTCCGCTTCAATGGATTCCCACTTGTCTCCAATCCCACTTTTTAAGAAAGCGACCTTTGTATTCATCGGAGAGGGAACCGAGCCCCTGAAAGCAGCCTTTGTATCCATCGGGGGTTAGCTAATCCCCGAAAGTCGTATTTGTTTCCGTCGGTGGGGGAGAACTCTAATCTCCCTCTCGTGGCTTCCACAATGCTAAGTCAAAGTCGAAAAATAAAGCAAATATGTACAGAAAGGCAAGACCCTCCTCGCGCGTTGGCCGCGACGTCACGGAAACGGTGGGACGCTATTGGATGCGGAGGTGGCGGAGGGATATCCGATTCCCTTTGAGGGGCATTTGCCGCTACCTTCTCAAGCTGTAACTGACTATAGAGGTCGCCCAAGGTGTCATTCTTGACGTCGTCCTACAGGACGTTATCCTCGACGTGGTCCTCGACGTCGCCCTAGAGGTCGTCCTTGACGCCGTACTAAGCCTCAATCTCTAGGACGTCGTCCTCGACGTCGTCCTTTACGTCGTCCCAAACTTTAATACGTGTGGAAACATGACTCGAAAACATTTGTCCCACGGGACTATAATGTTTTCGTATTCCAACACCCGTAAGCAGTCTTGAGTGTCCTCCTGTAACTTTGTAGGCTATTTCTACACCCGAAATTGCGCCCTATTCCGATCGCGCGAAGCCATGGTTTTCTATCTGCTTTTTATCGACAATAATGTAATGGATCCCACATACAAATAGACTTATACGGTACTCACGAGAAATAATCAGATTACTTGTAATAGATGGCATTTTTAAATAATTTTGTGATCAATTACCTTTATTAGGTAGTAATCGCAAGAACCATCTGAATAGTTTTTAAGTAATAAAATTACTCGTAACAGTTACCATTTATCCGTCTCCTTCCTAATGGCGCATTTTGTTTACAGAACCTTCCCACCAAGGAATCATCGAACCACGTCTCCGATAGGGGGACGGTCTATAAAAAATGATGCATTTAGAAGATGGTTAGTTTGTAATCCGATGATTCTAATCGCATAATGGACAGTACGAAATCGGCAGGAAGATACGCCGTTTTGAAAATCTGAAGTAGTCGGGAAGGTAACCGTTACCTCTTTCAAGTAATGGTGACTTACTTTTCCTTTCAAGTAATCAAGAAGTATAACTGAATACTTTTTAACCAAGAGTAATAGTAATTCTGATTGATTAGTTATTTTGAGTAATCTGTACAAAACTGCATACAAATCAACAACAGCGACGGCGCAATTCTTTTCTCTTTTTTTTTCACACGCCGTAGTTTCGCAGATTCTCACACAAACCTGAAGTGTGAAACACGTGTGAACAAAAACCACGTGGCGTCCCGCCGCCGAGTAGCGTAACCTTAGCAACCGCCATTGACGCTATGACGTGACCTAATGCCGCGCTGCCACGTCTCAGCATCAGCGACGGTTGCTGTGGTTACACCGCTCAACGGCGCGACGCGGTTTTTACTTAAATGTGTTTAACGCTGGAGAGTCGGTCATAGCACTCCTCCGTACCAGCATACATGCACCTATAGTTAAATGCCCCGAAGCAAGCAGCCACAACCCATGCTCACCTCGCACCTTATTATTTATTGCGTACACTCTAATAAGTGCCTGCGGGTCTACTTACCCGCAAAACACTCGAAGAGCCAATCTGCGATCTACAAAATCAGCTCTGCAAATGATGAGGCGGAACATATGTTTAGATCTAAAAATGAACTCTGCGCTGCGGCATTACGCAATGTAAAAGTGTAAAGAGCGTCATGCTTGCATTGCGTAATGCCACAGCACAGACTTAATTTTGAGGTCGAAACAGATGTTCCGCCTCATCATTCGCTGAGCTGATTTCGTAGATCGCAGAGATTGGTTCTTCGGGTGTTTTTCGGGTAAGTAGACGCCCAGGCATTTCTTAGAGTGTACATAGTTCATCGCTAATGACGGGCTAAAAAATGAAACAAGTGGCCTTCGGTAACCTGGCACGTGGCATTGGATTCCTGTCATTCTCCCAGTACCACACAGCGCCCAAAAGAACACAAATAAGCGGTCGCAACCAGTGCCGAGGCCAACACACACCCTATGCGTCGCCCGCGAGCTAGCCCTAGTGACCCATTCCGCAAGGGCGGCGACGCGCTGAAAGATGACATTTGGCCCCGCGATTACGTCTTTGCCAACGCATAGCCAACGTTAGTGTAACGGCAAGGCCGACGTCATTAGCGACGCGTGGCGTAACGGCCCGTTACGTAAGACGGGTGCCGAAGAAAGAGCTAAACTGTTACGCGATTTCTGTCTGACGGCGGTAGCTCGACACGGTTCGTCGAAAGCGTGAGTTTTCGACGGGAAGAAAAAGAATCGCACGACTTGAGGTGCGTATGAAAGCAGATTCAGGCCAGTTTCGCTGTCTGGCCTTCCTTTCAGCTTACGAGGTCCACACCGCCACTGTCGACGAATTTGAAGGCGACAGTAGCATCTGGCAGTAATCACAATGCAAATGTTTGAATTTTGAAGAAACCTTATAATTAAGCAACGTAATCACCCACAGTCAAGTCTAAAAACATTTGTTTAAAAGTCATAAACGCGACTCAATGCCACCTATGTTGAATGAAATCCCGATAATGTAGCCGTGCCGAATTATGTGAGCCCTAATCAACCTAAGTGACCATTACTAAACTCCTAGTTTTTCTTGTATTTTTTTATTATTATTCATTTATAGGCCTAGCGGCGCACAAGTCTTTGGTTGACCACGGGCTGAGACAAAGACCGAAAGATTACAGAGAGAACTGTCCTGGCAAAGCTTGCGCCAAATTGAAAGCATCCGTCGCAGAGGAGCTGCTCTTGATGTGCATGGCAAAATCCTACCATATGTGTAGTGCACCGAAGAATAAAATTCTTTCACCCAATAATAGGATGTGTGACACTAGATCATACAAACACAAAATGGTTGCTCTAGCACAGATGTTCCTGGATTGATGGTAGGCAGACTCAGTTAAAATTATAGAGATGTAGAGCGCCCTCTTTTAAACAGTTTATTTTAGTGTGCTTCTTTTGAACAAAGGCGTTTGCTTTGTTTCTTATTTATTTCTGAAACATGGCTAGGAGGTGGATTTTATACCGCGTTGTGCCGTCACGTAAAGTGTTGATGAAAAGAAATGTTATCACAACTTCATTGTCGAAAAATCATTGCGAGCCTTTTTAGATTGTAAAATATCCATAGAGATAATTTCAATACATATTCCTTTCTCCGAGACGTCCTTCCAAGGTACCTAGAAAGGTCACCGTAGTTATTACTGAGAGACGCATTAAAACTAATATTTCTTCGCGTTTCACAGAAACAAAAGCTTGACATACTCTAGCTACTGCGGATGACAGCCATGGGGGGAGGGGGGGGGGGGGCATTTTAGTGATTATCTTTTTTTGCTTGGTTTTTACGGCTAATAACTCTGCTTCTTTGCTCTGCCCACTCAAACATTCACCGCCAAGTTGAAGAACATTTATTTAGGTATGATTTAGTTATGGTTCTACCACCTTAAGCGTGAGCCAGGTACCGTTGACTCTAGTTCAGCAATGCGTCTGCTCCGGTTCAGCAAACTTCAGGAGGTCGGAACGTCATGACCGTGACCTTGGTTTGTCACACGATCACCGGGGCGATTGTTATTCCTTCTCCCTCTTCGACGGCGCAGGTAATCCGTGAGCGGAAAGAGGTGAAGCTGGCCGAGCAGCGGCTCATCGAGCCCTCGTCGGATATCAAAAAGAGGCCGATGTTCCTGGACGTGCTCCTGGATCACCACATCACCGAAGACAGCATCTCCGAGGAGGACATCCGGGAGGAGGTGGACACCTTCATGTTCGAGGTAACCGGCTCTCCCCCCATAGTGCCTGGTACGCGTCTCCAACTGGTGCGCGTACCGCGTCCTAAAATATGATCCTTCAATTTCCGCCTTATCAGCGGTTTTGGATGTGACAGACGCCTGTCCTGCTGCAGGTCGCACCCCAGCTTTGACAGTCCACAGAAAATTCAGCAGCCAGAAGTTGGGACGCTGCGACGGCAGCGACACTCGCCTTCACCCGTACTTTTTTGCCAGGGCTTCAGCGCCAACCGCCAGGATCGCGACATCCGACAGCATGACGCGTCCGATTCCGTGACGTCATCTGTTTCGACTTCGAAACCACTTTTGATGTATGGACAGTACAGGACGCCAAACACGCCAGTTGAAGACGAGTTTCACACACCGTTATCTATGCGGAGCACAAGTTCGTCTGCTTCCTGCGCAGGGGTTGCGGTGACGTCAGAACGCCGAGTTCTGGTTGGCTCTGATTGGAAGGATAGCAGTGTGTATACGTCAATGCTAGTTGCCTTGAGGTCTACCCACTATTCCTCCAATCGTTATCATGTTAATGCAGCCTTGGGAACATACTGTCTATCAGACAGTATGTCTATTAGACATACTGTCTAATAGACATATTAGACATATTATATATTATATTATATATATATTATATATATATATATATATATATATATTATATATTAGACATACTGTCTATTAGACAGTATGTCTGTTAGAACGCGAAACGCCGGCGTCCGGGTTTGGCTCTCGCATTCGAACGCGTTCGACGAGTGTAGCGGAGACAATGGGAGTTAGCTTTAGGTCTACCCACTAATCATTCGAACAACGGCCCGAATCTCTCACCTCCCCGCGCGCTCTCTTCTCCTCCTCTCTCTGAGTTTCTCGGAGCATAGAGGACCTATGTCCGGCGTATTTTCCGCGGAGCTCGGTATTTGACCAATTACCCAACACAAGGCCTGTGGAGTGGATTATATACGTCATCTACCTTTATCAAGCGCGGAGCACAAATTAGACAAGAGTGCGTGCACTTTAAGAAAAGCCCGTGCGTCTACTTTCTCGCACAACACTCGGAGAACCGATCACCGAAACTTACGGAGGCAGCTCAGCGAATGACGATGCAGAAACATGTGTTTAGACCAAAAAAACGCAGTCTGAGTTGTGACATTGAGCAATGCAAGCGTGATGTTTTGCATTGCTTAATGTCACAACTCACACCGCGTTTTTTGGTCTAAACTTATGTTTCCGCATCATCATTCGCTCAGGTGCCTCCGTAAGTTTCGGTGATTCGCTCTCTGAGTGTTATGTGGGAGAGTAGACGCACGGGCTTTTTTTAGAGTGTGCTTTGTCAGCGTTTAGCCGGAACTTGTGCTCATCATTCTGAATGAACACGAAGCACCAGAGCTGAACACTGACGCAGCGTTCGGCCGACCTCAGCCAAGCGCTGCGTCAGAAAAGCTAACAAGTGATGTATCTCCTTGTCTACATAGGTTTAAATTCTCAGCTTAGCCGCTAGGGACACGACGGTTGGATCTAATCTTCTCTGACTACGTTTGACAACGTTGAGAGAACATCCGTCAAGTCACGACTGTGAATCACAGGGACATCCGTGCTTCCTATGCCGTACGGAAATCAATTTAGGAAATATCCCCTCACGTGACATACCTGCACGGATGACCCAGACCCCGGTACCTCGCGGTGGTATCCCGTCGTAACTTTAAGCTATCGTATCGCAGTCCGCTGGTAAACGAGCTGTTTACCCAGTAATCGTCATCATTTTAAGGCAGCCTTGCGAACATACTGTCAATGTGTTTATTCGGCTGAACTTATCACGGTGACCCGAGATGATACACGTATATTATATACACAGAAGCCATAATGTAACCACAAATAAAACGTTTGCTGACTAACTGACCCGAGACTGAGTAACAAGACGGACCTTTGTCAGGAAGCTTTGATAGCTATCAAAGTAAATATAAACGGTAACAAATTAATGGCAAAGCCCAACACTAAAAGCTACCGTCGATAAAACAAACAAACATCAACTTCACGAGAGAATTGGAAAAATATATTGTCCAACGGGCAAGGCCAACTGCCTTTTCCAGGGTCACGACACGACGTCTGCGGCCATTTCTTGGTGCATCTACCTGCTGGGCAGAAACCCCGAGGTGCAGAAGAAAGTCCAGGACGAGATGGACGCCATCTTTGCCAACGACATGGACCGTTACGCGACGGTGGCGGACCTCAAAGAGATGAAGTTCCTCGAGTGCTGCATCAAGGTTTGGAGCGAACGATCCATTATAATGTCCCTTCGCGAATCGCTTGGGATACCAGCGGGCTGCAGGCACTAAAGCGATATATTCATAAAAACCAATTTAGTAAAAACGATCCGATTCCAAAAGTCGAACTTAATCACATTCTTTCATACAGTGCGAATATTGTGCTACTGACATTAGCTATAGACTAATCTCAATTCTACCTCATTTTTTCTCAAATATTTCAAACAATAATTCACATAATACTAGAGGAGTTTTTTTTCGTAAATATAATAATATAATCAAAGGCCAATATAGCTTTCAAAATCATAACTATATAAAGCGAGCTTTACTCCACATAAAATACAAAATAATTGACAACATTAAAAAAATGTACACATTAGGTTTATTTTTGGACTTCACCGAAGCATTTCAGATAATACAGCATAATAATTATTAATTAAACTAGACCATTGTGAAATACGTGTAGCTCTAGAGCTTGTTCAAATTAATTAAAAGGGCGATGCTGATATTTATTCGTTAATGAAATAGCCTCTGAGAAATTAGAAGTACGACATGGAGTTCCTCAGGGATCTATTCATTGTCATTGATTATTTCTTTATGTATACGTCAATGATATAACTACTATAAAAAAAAACTCCCCGGAGCTTATTATGTTCGCTGACGACACGAACGTATTTTTGTTCAATCTTCAAAGTTCAATGTTTATTTTTCACGTGCTCACGAACAGTCGGAAGCCCTCTGCGGTAAAACACAAACCGTAAGATACATATTCACCATAATTATACGTGCTTAAAAGTCATACACAAGCGTAAAAGCATAGACATGCTTAAAATTCATACACCTGCTTAAAAAGGGGTAAACTTGTGCAAAAAAAAACAATGTTACAAAACTTCGTGTTTAAAACCTGTTGGATTCGTGGCACCGGTGACAAATTATGATGAAGATCTGGGTGAAATATTTACGATTTCTAGAGCTTGTACTAACAATGATACGGAAGTGTAGAGAAGTCATGGATCTATTGATTCCCTATGCAAAAACCTAACATCCCGGGTAGACCTCCTGTTGTTCAAAGTGCACAATCTTAGCCTAGATTAAATCAAATTATATTCAAAGTAATATTTCTGACCTAAATATCTGTCGCAGATTATCCGTACAAACCGTTTTTGTATGTATTCAATATTTTTCCTTGCTGTATTTAGAATGGACTTACGTACGACAGATGAAAGTTCAAGTTTAGAGCGTACGTGAGTACTGAAAGGTTTTAACGTACAATATTGAGTGGTAAATGGTCCAGCTAAACGAGCCATTATTCCCAATGTGCGCAGGGACGGCCTAACAATAGAGTTCGTGTGACAATTAAAAAGGAAAAGGTAATCATCCACGAAGACCCCTAGAGCTTTTACTAGGGTGGTCCGACTTATAGTTCTATTTTCCCAACAATCTGTATAGAGCAACGTGCTATGCTTTTTTGACAATGAATTCACTTGTGTTTTGAAGGGATTAAAGAGTAGATTGTTCGAGATGCATTATATTTGTACTGAACAAACATTGTCTTGGAAGAGAGTATAGTCGGTGACAAAGTTCACTTGCCAAAACAGATTCACATCGTTAGCAAATATAAGTACCTTCAAGTGTTTCACGAAGGATATCAGATCGTTCATAAAAATAATTTAAAAAAAAATAAAAGACCAAGATTCTAGCCTTGCGTGGCACCCGAAATAGGCAAGAAAGTACGTGACAAGTAGCCAGAAACTATAACAGTGTTGTCTTTCATGTGCATAACTCCTTAACCAGGCAATGCACCCAGGGTCAAGCCCATATATGGTGCCCAACGTGAGGAACAACCGGTAATCTCGGAAGGCAGTTCTAACTGACTTGCTATCAAAAAGATATCCTTTGCCTGGAAGATCTCAGGGTGGTCTCGCCCAAGTGATGGTTCTTCAGCTTTAGCAATAACAACTCGCGATTGACCTTGTCGAAGGCACTGGACATATCCAAATAATATATTACATCTACCTGACCCCGACCCTGAACAATTAACATAGAATAATTAAGAAATGTGAATAAATTTGTTCTAACGGATCTGCCTGCTAAAACCCATGCTGCACAGAAACTAACTTTTTCTTTAAATGATTATACAAGCCGCTGTACACGACATTCTCGAACACTTTTGAGAATGCATTTAAAAGAGATACAGGACAATAATTACTGCCATCGCTACAATTACCAGATGTAAACATCAGCACAACAACTGAATGTTGCCAGATTTCTGGAAAGACACCGTTGAGGAGTGACAAATTAAATAAGTCAAGAATGGCAGCAAGCACGTCGCTGCAACCCTTCACAATAAAGTTAGGAATACCATCGGACCCTGCTAATAGTTTCGAATTTAATTTTTCTGTAGCCGAAAACACCTCATTAACCGTAAGGCTCGTAAAAGTCAATAAAATCGCATGTCACAGGCGAAGTGCTGTTGACATTAGAAAAACACGAACTAAAATAATGTGAAAACAGCTCGCAAACAGACTTCGGAGACGTATAAATAGCATATCCATTGCGTAGCGTTATATTGCTTAACCCCTTCCCGGTACGCTTCTTCACAAAGCGACATATTCCTTCGGGTCGCTTGTTTAGGCTAAGCTCCACCTGCTTACGATACAGGTGCTGGTCATTGGCGAGAAGTTTCTTTGTGAGTTCACGCATAGTTTTGGTATCATATGTTCAGTTTTGTCTTTTTGTACAATCAATGGTAATGTGATATTGATTTTGAGTCATGTCGTAAACTGTTGGAGAACCATTTGGGGCACTTCTCGGGACGTTGAAGGTACTTGGGAATGAATATATTCATTGCATTATTTATTTCCGATGTGAGACTGTCCACCATGAAATCAACATTCGAATCGTGAAATATATTAGTCCAACCCTACCGAAAAATCCGTTATAACTTTTCGCTATCCGGATTATGGAACCGGAAATCTATCTGGATTCTATCTGGACTCTATCTGGAATTTAGGTTTTCAGAAATTATTCCTTTGTCTGCAATCTGGATTTCGGGTTTCCAGTAACAAATTTCCGGTTCCATAACCCGGATAGTGAAAAGTTATACCGGATTTTTCGGTAGGGAATCGTATGTTTTTAATTATGTCAATACACCAAAATATTCACTGAGACTATATGCACATATCAGTACGAAGCAAAGTGATATGACCTCTAAAGACGTTAAAAACAAGATTTCAAGTTGAGCATGATAAGCACCCATATTTACCAGCGGATCATTTAGGTGAGTCAGTTCTGAGACATGAAAGTTATATAAAACTAAATCAAGAATATTGCCTGAGCAATTCGCACGCACGTTCTGTTGCGTAAAATTATTAAACTTTATATAATTGAACAAACAAGACGCTTTTAAACGCGTGCATGAGCTTCCACTGTTACCGATACCAGGAATCCAGTCAACTTTTGGTAAATTACCATCCTCGTGCATTTTTACGCGACGCATCTATGTTGCTTTCAAGGAAATATAAGGGGTCTACAAAAAGTGCAAAATCACAACTGCTTGGTGAAGTTAGGGAAATTACCACTCCGAGTGCACTCTTGTCTACACGTAGAAGCTTTACATTGGCCGTCGAAATAACAAACCGAGACGAGAACCCCACGAGCAGGCGAAGAATTTCCGAAGAACCCCCTCATGTTCCGATTGACCGTTGTCTTATCCGCCGATGTCGGATTCCGTGTTCCCAGCTGGGCATAGCCCGGCTATCGGATGCAGCGCCGATAGGCCTCATCCATGAACGTACCAACCGTGGGGGGGGGAAGGCAAGGCATGTGTTTTGCCCCCCCCCCCCCCCCTGAAACAGCCACCACTGGGCAGGGCAAACACTGGCCGGCGGCGCCCAAGGGCCGCGCCCCCGGCCCTGGGGGGGGGGGGGGGGGGGGGGGGGGGGGGGGGGAGGGGAGGGGTCTGGTTTGCCCCCCCCCCCCTTAAAAACAAGTTGGCCTCATCGCAGAAGGATTGACGCGCCTTGAACAATCCTTGTATTTGTAGCTGCTTTTTTCAGATTGCGTGAAGATGTCGTATTCTTCTGCCTTTATATCGTGGCACTGGCATTGAAACCGGCAAGAATACGTACATGACGCACAGTGTAAAAATGGTTGTCTACCGAAGTACTGAGCAAAGCAGCAACCGCACACGTAGTACGTCCTTGTTCCTCGCCACCCGCGGAGCGAAAAACATTTAGATCCCAGTCTAACTGTCTACTACGATCAATGGCAAATAGTTATCTGGCCAAAAAGATAAATTGACTGAAAGAAAAACCGCACCTTAACGCGATAACTAAATATATATATTGTTTCGATCTATCCATAAACCAGAGAAAACACCTGTGCTTATTAGTTTTATTGGAGTACCTTTAGAACTAGTTAAAGAACAAAACTGTCTGGGTGTATGGTTTGACAAAGAATTGAACTGATCGACACATGTACAAAGACTTAGCTCTAAATTGTCGAAAACTATTGGCTGTATTGATAAAATAGATAAACTGCTCCCTGTATGGTAAAAACATATCACTATATTACTTTTTATGTTATTCAAAAATATCATACGGTGCATTAGCATGCCAAGAATCAAGAATGGGGAACTACGATAAAATAATAGTCCTTCAAAAAAGAATTATACACATGTTAGAAAATTTTCACGGATATCAACGTGACTTGCGCACGAGTCAATTGTTTAAAAATGATATATTACTTTAAATAATATAATAAAAAAGTAATATATTAAAAGTCAGCAAAATAATTTTTTAAACTATTTCAGCTAATACATCATGAAAAACTATTCCTTACTCTAAAAAGTTGTTGTACAGAACACACGCAGAGGAAAAGTATTTGGAAATCAACTAAAATTATAACTAATTATGGAAAATAACAAATTACTTACCGGGTTCCCTATTCGTTAAATAATATTGAAGAAAGAATAAACTTTTGTCGTTGCTTACACGATTTCAAGAAAAACAAAAAAACATCCTGGTGGCAAGAGATGTGGTCTTTAGTAAAAATAAATGAACTAACGAAGCATAAAAATCATATATCGCGTGAAAAATATTTGCACAAATGGACCAGTTAGATCAAGTTGTGTTGTTGGCCTGATTGCTAAGTGATTGCTGGCTACCTACGCCAAGAACTTTGTAAGAGGACGGGCCTTGACAGGATTTGCAGCCTTTTGCCTCTGCCTCCCATCCCAATATACCACCCCCCCCCCCCCCAAGAAAAAAAAATACAATAAAAATATATATGTTGTGAGGAGGTTTTTCAGTGGCAAGCAAATCTGGTTTAAACTGGGGCCCAGCGTCTCCGTTCAAGATTGTAAAGTACTGGCGGTAGCGGTTGAAGCCAGTGAAGCTTTGGCGGCACCGTGATTCACTGTTTGTGTGAGGTTGTTCTAAAATGTGTAGCTCATACGGCGAGTCTAGCACCAGTAGCACCTCAGATAATTGATGAGGGTGTTTGCAAGAACTAAATCAAAATAATAATTTGCCATCAAACCGCGTGCGGGAAATCGTTTCAAAAAGAAAGCAAAAATGACAAACCTCGTCGCGCTCAACACAGTTATTTTTAGACCCGAATTGAAGTAAGTAAATTGTGAAAATGTTATATCGCTTTGTTTTCCTTTCAGGAGACCCTGCGGTTGTTTCCCTCAGTCCCCATCATTGGCCGGGAGGTCCACAAGGAGTTTAGCGTCAGTACGTTGAACCTCTTCTTGCTATTGTCCGTTTATCGTGTGTTTGTCTGGATTGTGATCAACGGCACTTAAAAACGCCCTGAGAGACAAGGCTACTAGTTTGTAACTTTAATCATCAAGGCGTTAGTTCAATATCATTCACGACTCAACTCGTAACCTCGTCGGAAAATGGCACATGCAATAACCTAACTTTTCTTCTTTTTTTTTTCTTTTTTTTTTGTGACGGAACATTGTTATTGCTCGTACCCAAGTGAACAACTTTTTATCCTTTCGTTTTGTTTCATATGCCGCCAATTACGATGAAACTAGAGCAGGGGTCTCAAGCACGCACCCCACGGGCTGCATTCGGCCCGTGACTCGCTGGGACGCGGCCTGCAAGCAACCGGCTACGAGTCCCGGTTCCCATGTCTCGAGCGCTAAAAATGGCACGCGCAATACTGATCTCATCTCGTCGACTACTTTTCCCTCGAAAAGTAGCTCTGCTCTTTTAGCGTATTCAGATAGTTCATACTTATCTGTGTTCATTTGCCCTTTGTTTCGCTTTATATTTTGCTTCCCAGCTTTTTGTAATGCACGACGATTCCGCTCCTAGGCTGCAAGCGCGAGCTTTTTCGTTGAAGGATGCACGTCGGCTGCGCCAACTCTCGATCAGCAGGAGCAACTTCCAAAGCTAAAGCCACGAGCTCGGGATTTTCGCCTTCAAAAAGATATCCCTATTAAAAGACACGTATTTGTTCGAGTGTTGTAGTAAAAATCGTCACGGAAGCAACAAGTGTCGTATTAACTGATTGTTTTTAATTGTTTTTTTAGAGAAATGTCGAGCTTGTATAATTCCTGGCTGAATTGAGCAACGACAACGACAGTGTACTTGTTCTATTAAAAATGCCAGCACGTCGGCGGGGCGGTGTCATTTCCATTCTTATCACATCAGGTCAGGGACCAAAGTAGTCTTATGCACTAATCAATCTAAAGATGAAACAGGCAAGACTGTGAGTTTACAAAAAGCATAAGGCACGGAATTCCTTCCACCTCCCCCCTCCACGATATTGCATTGGCTCCCGACCTTTCCGGTGTGGGATATTTGGCCCCCTCATTCAAATGAGTTTGAGACCACTGAACTACAATATAATGAGCTAGACGCTTTTCGACAAGCTACTGAGCCACTAGTGTGTTCATGAGTATGCCTTTGCTTGCCTCCTTTTCGTCCGCTTTGTACGCCTTTTTGTTTTTCTATTCCTATGATGTACCATTTTTTAGTCCTAATATTGTTTGTGGACACATTAAACTAAAGATTAGTTTAACGTCAGTCTCTGTTAGCACGCCCTCAGTGCCTTCTATCTTTTGGTTTCTGAAGGAAAAGCAGTAGAAAGAAAAACAGCGGTTAACTAAAGCACCAATCTATTTTTTTAAACGTTGAATTCCCAGACGAAACAAAAATATTGCAGCTGCATTTGTATCTATCGTTTAAGCCGTCATGTTCAAAATTGCGTTTTGTGCAGAACACAGCGGACACTGACGTCCAATCTAAGTGTTCCAGACACAAGCCGCCGTGTCTTTTCATGGCGTCGCCTCGTCCTTCTTTCCTGTTGCATCTTTTCTTGCTGTTTCCAAAAATATTTTGACAGTTGGCGAAGTCCCGCTAAATCATCGTGGCGTCGCATTGTCCTCTCTCCTTTTTTCTTTTGCTTTCCTTTTTCGTTGTTGTTTCTGCTTTCGAAAGCTTACGGCAGCTCACCAACTTTATGCGGGCAGAAACTGGGGGAGAGGAGCAAACGGTACCGGGCAGGTAAATCAGAACACTGAGCTCTGACTGGAATGATTGGTGGGCCGAGGCAAATCTATGGCTGCATTTGCCTCCACTGCACTCGTTGAACGCGTTACAACGCGGAACACCGGCGTTCGCGACGAGTGCGGTGGAGACAAAGGCAGCTATTCTTCGTTTCAGCGTAGGTCCAGACGCAGCCGACGCTACGAGGTAATGGGACCAATCAAGCAGCGTCAACAGCGCAAGTCACAATAGTGACTTGCGTGGCACGAACGACAAGAAGCATGACGAACGCCACGATGGTGCGCTTTTCACGCAGTCGGAGCCCGGCGCTGTGGCGTACCCGCGCGCGCTCTCGTTTCCTCCTCTCCTTCAGTTTCCGCCCGCACAGTCACACTGACAGCCTAAAAAGCGCAGAGCGTGGCGTGCCCCTAGAATCTTATTATCGCTCCGCAGCCAATGAGATTGTCGAATTTGCCAATCAGAACGACGAGGGACCAATCAGGACGCAAGAATCCTAAAGATAGCAAACCGCGCCCTGCGTTTCCTAAGTGGCTACAGTACTTCCCACTATGGTGCCTGGAACGCGTCTCCGACTGGCGTGTTTAGCGTCCTATCCCGCCCATACATCGAAAGTGGACCCGAAGTGGCAACAAATGACGTCAAAGAGGCCGAAGTGTCATGCTGTTGCATGTCGCGATGCTGACGGTTAATCGTAGAAAACTAAGGAGAAGCGGCGAGTGGCACGACCAAACGCGAGTGTCGCTGTCGTCACGGCGTCCCAACTTCTAGCTGCCCAAGCTTCCGTGGACTGCCACACTGGGGAACCACTTGCAGTGGAACAGGCGTCTGCGACATACACCACAGCTGTTGGGACGCCGCCAGGATCGCGACTGACGACAGCATGACACTTCTATGACGTCATCAGGCGGAAATCGAGGAACCACTTTTTTGGACGCGGTAAACACACCAGTCGGAGGCGGGTGCCAGGCACCATACTTTCACTGTACGACACGCGACACGCGCAACAAACACTCGCGAAATCTGAGTTAGCTTCCGTAAGAATGCAATGTTGCCTTTAAAAAGAGAAAAAAAACAGCATTTTAAATGGGGGCTATTGTTACGATTTGTTTTCCGCACGGGGCGCAGACGGCAACGTAGTTCCTCAAGGCGCCATCGTGGTGGTCTTTTCGTACATGCTGCATCGAGATCTCCAGTCCTTCCCCAGGCCAGAGGAGTTCTTTCCTGAGCGGTTCCTGCCGGAAAACAGCTTGGGCAGGCACCCGTTTGCCTACGTCCCGTTCTCTGCAGGGCCCAGAAACTGCATCGGTGAGTCCTCAAACTTAGCATCTTTTAGTGGTTTTTTTTTGTTCGTGCGTGTGTGCGTATCTGCGCGTGTGTGCGTAAGTGTGTGTGTGTGTTTTGAGATAACCAACTTCAACATTTTTGTCGTCACATCGAAGCGATGGGACCGGCTCTGGAAATGCGAACATGCTTGACTCTTTAAAAAAAAGATGGGTACCATTTTATGCGTTCACAGCTCCTGTAGGAAACTCACTTGCTTGTAATTTATAAACTTCGGCATTTCACTCTTGTTGTCCGTTGTTTCTCTCTATCTCTCTCTCTCTCTCTCTCTTAATATCGACCTAAACGACAAGAATATCGATATTACAATAAAATGCTGAAGAAAACAGTCGTTCAAAATATATTTGCCAGTATCGGATGTTGACAAAAAAACCACAATGTATTTCTCGCCGCAAAAATAAACTACGCATCGCAGTACTCCTCGCCCAAATGTAGCCCCAGCGCTTGGACCAGCTACCAAATTCTTAGGACTAAGCATCAACCGATTCAAAAGTAATAAACGAATCTCGGAAATTTTAGAAAAAAAATGGCGATCACGTGGAGATAAATGGCGTCTGCTTCTAAAACTGGGACCTTTTCTTTTTTCAATAATTTTTTTTTTTTTTTTTAAATTGCACAAGGCTTTTGAAACTTCAGCATCTGGTCTCAACTTCTAGCGTATCACTTGGGAAGAGACTGGGCGTTCGGGCGATCCATGGTTTATTCTTGCGGCGAGAAAAACAATACTCGCACCTCTTCCACATGCCCGATAATATGGGATGTAATCGATCGGTATAAAATTCGTAATACAAAAAAAAAAAAGAATAGTTAACAAAATAAAAAAATGTTAGAAAAAAAAAAAAAAAGTTTTTTCACGGGACCTATGAATTCGTTGAATCCACTTCTCCTGTTGCACGGAAGCGTTGTGGGGAAGCTATGCCTTCGGTGCTGCAGAAGCACCAGGAAGCGGTCTTCCTCGTAGACTCGCTTTTCTGTAATTCACCGAAACCGCGGACATAGCCGGGCCTATTGTTCCGAGTGTCAACCTTTGAAAATGTTTGCACAAAATAGAATGTACGCAGGACTGAATCGGGATGCATAATACAAAAATCTTGAAGCCTTATCATTTCCACCTGTTTCACTGCACGATGGAGGGCTTTGAACACTTACGCAAGCGTATTCTTTTGTGAGCTTCAGTGCTGCTTGCATGCGAGCTCATGATGCTATCACACCAGCATGGCGTAACAATATTGGAAAGTGAGGTCATTTTTTTCATGTTCCCATTTCAATGACATCATTTTTTTCTGGACAGCTCCCATTTCTGTCTAGGATCAGAATTTATTTCAAACCTCGGTAGAGATGCGTTGCTGTAAGATTTTTCTCAACAAACAATAAAAGGGAGAACTTGAAAAGGAATCTCTTGGAACTTAACACGTGCAATACACGTTTCGCTAAAAGTCAGCTTTCTCAAGGCTCCCAGCAAAAACGTCGACCGCCACTCTGAGGCTGCCAGGAAGTTCGTTATCGTGTTCCTCCTACCAGCACTGACTACCTTCACAACTTGCTTAAAATAAGTTAGGAATATAATTTCAAACACAACGCAAATGGACATGGACTAATAGAAGGCGAAGATAGGCCAAGCACTTGTCCTGTCTTCTCCTTCCAGTAGTCCTTATCTATTTACGCTGCTCATTTCAACGTATGTAACGAACTAGCCCGCCAGTCGGTTCCGATATAATTTCAACTAGAACTAAACTATGGTCAACCTCGACGTATCTCCAATGATTCGAGAGAATTTACGCACCTCGCTCCCCAACAGGCCAGCGCTTCGCGCTCATGGAGGAGAAGATCGTTCTGTCCAACCTCTTCCGGAGGTTCTCGGTCACGTCCCTGGTACCCCGACACAACCTCAAGCTTGCCGGGGAGCTGGTGCTCCGCAACCAGAACGGCATCGAAGTGGAGCTCACGCCTCGCCAACCCCATGCTCCTGCTGCCATCGCCCAGGATAAACCGTAGTCATCCGCTCCGAACAACGGGACTTTCCTGGGCTCCTGTGTGAAGGCGTGGGTGAAAGTACGGAGCCTAAAACGGCGTCTCCGACTTCCGCTTACCGTGCCCTAAAATGTGGTCTCTCGATTTTCGCCTGATGACGTCATACAAGTGTGCCTGCCGCGGTCCTGGCGTTGGCACAAATAGCGGAAGTGGATGTGGCGGACGCCTGTTCTGCTGCAGGTCTCTCCCCAGCTTAAAAGTTCACGGAAGCTGCTGCAGCAGCCAGGAGTTATGACGCCGCGACGACGGCGACACTCACGTTCGATCGTCCTTCTTAGCGTAACTTCCAAGGCCATCCGCCAGGATCGCGACCTCCAACATGGCCTGCCAACTCCTGCGACGTCAATTCGTTGCCATTTCGGAAACACCTTCGACCCGCGGGCAGCATAGAACCCTAAACACTCCCGTCGAAGACCCGTTCCGAGCAACGTAGTGAGAACAACTGGCCATCTAGTCAACGTACCGCCATCAGTCAGGGTTTCAAATACGCAGCGTTGTGGCGGATTTTTTTTTTTTTTTTATTGAAGTTTTCTACACGTTACGCTGGTGATGTCCTTAGCCCTTCGACCTGCCAAAGACGAGCTTGGCTCGTCCGCCGACGCAGCTGGAAGTGCCAAGTCATAGTTTCCTGTGCGTCAATTTACCTGAGTGTGCTGGCAGGTATCTCTTACACCGAGCTACGATTTCGGCTGCAGATAAGTTGCCAGAGCACCGCGTGTGCGCCTGTGGTCCCGTGCTCTTACTTCGTGTGAGAGAGAGCGTAAGGTGTTCCTTCTGCACGGAGACGAGCTCCGGGGGAAGATTCCACGCGCAAGTCGAATCTTAACTCACAGCTAGCAGCTGGCGCTCAGAGCTTTCGCCGACATGCTGCACGAAATAGGGGCGAACCACGCTTTTTGTATGGCAGGCGAAGGGTGAATTCAGCCATGGCGAAACTAGATTTTATAAAGCTCAACATATGCGCACTGCCTCTCGGGAGTAACAGTGACTGGAGTCAAACTGAACAATGATACCCCACTGAATTTTTTTTTTTTTAATTGTTGCTTTGTAAAATTATGTTTGTGAAAACCTAGTTCAGTGAGCAGCAATGTGACTTTCTTTTGAATAAAGGTATAACTTCGGGGTAGCGTTTGAGCGCGACACAACTTCAAATTCTTACTTTTCAATTTGAATGTGCAAATTGACCGGGTTGGAATGACAGCGTTGGCCTCTAGATTTATATTCGAAGCGCAGAGATTTACAAAAGTGGTTATCCTTGATCAGCCCGAGGATCAGCACATGCAAACTTCGATTACTTTAAAACAAATTCCACTTACATTTTAGAAGATAATAAAGATATGCACGCTCGAGTGAGTTTTGCCGTAAGGTGTGTAAGAGATTGGAACCACGGTCAATTTCTGTACGATAAGACGACTTCTCAATTTAAACAAAAGGTTTACTACTGGAACGTTGCGTTCATACTCTGTAATTAAAAACGAAAACAATAACTAAAAAAATCTGCTCTATATTGTCTGTTTGCTGTTTTTTAAGGTCATTTTTTGGGACTCGCTAGCTCATTGTGAAGTGTATTCATAGGGATACATTGGCCACATGCCGAGATTACTCCAAGTATCCCTGGTCCAGTACGCCGCACACGAGATGTATTTAGAAATGAGCAGCATCGATTTCCTAGCATTCTCCAGGGCGGCATGAAATGCAAAGCCTTGAATGGATGTTCCTTTTTTGCATGCAGTGTCGGTTGTTATTGTTGTTGTTATTAAACAGTGAAGAATGGTTTAAAAACATTCGTTTTTCATTGTACCTGTCTTAAGGGTGAAACTTTGGTCTTTGGGATTTTTCGATCATGTCTGGTATATTATTTATTAAATTTTCACCTCTACTCTGTGCTAAGCACAAACATAAGCACAATTTTTTTTTTCTATTATAGTTTTCGAAAAAAAAACCTCAACTTTGCCACAAACGTTTCTGTCCAACTTTTTACGCTACCCCCATCAAAAAATGACACAATATATATCAGCGTGTTCTACAAACAGCAGTGTGCAACAAAACTACGGTTTTAATTTTAACATCATTCTAGAAAAAGTTGTTTGTAGTTGACATTTCTTAGAAATAGTAGTCTTGTTGCACTCTCTTATTTATGAGGTGTCCCAGCTCTAGATCGAAAGATTCTGGGGCAAAACTGTGTTGTGACTAAAAAATTAAACACAAAAAATAGTGCAAAAAGAAAAGATTAGTAAACAGGACAAGCGCTTGTCCTGTTTACTTTTTGTCCTTGTCTTTCTTTGCGCTATTTTACATGTTTAAGATGAACCAAATAGCCCAACAATGTACCCCACTTGACAAAATTAATTCTTAGAAAACAAGAAAAGCTTTCCAAAATATGCTTACAAACAGCGTGCATCAGAAACTTTGAATCGATATAAGTATATAAATTGATTCTTCCCGAGTGTAGTACTTACATTTTGAGGGGGGGGGGGGGGGGGGGGGGGGGATTTATCGATAAAAAATATAAAAAATAACTTTTTGTCGTTTTTGTTTTAAGACGGGGGTCTCTAACACAATTCACAGTTCTTGCTACTTCATGCATGGCGGCACTTTTTATAAACCTGTCCTTTCACCGCCGGTACTTACCCACTGTACAGGGGAAAGGTAGTAATTTGTTGGCAAAATTGAGCTAGAACTGAATATTGCATCAGTACAACAGGAATTTCGAACACTTTAATTTAAGAACTGGTTTGCGCTGAAAACCTTGGCGACTCTCAACTACCGTATAAAGGGGAGCTGCCGAATTTCCTAAAAAAAAGTCAAAATAACTGAAAACGCTGCCTGTTGCACTGCAAAAGGTGAAAATGGCACGCTTATCCTAATACTTGGAATGCACTTTTCTTTTTTTACACAAAATTATCTCTCTTTTTTTTTTTGCTAAATATGCGTTTTAGCAATTCTGAGAGAGCAGAGTAAAGTCATGACTTCCTATGACACTATTCCTTTACACACACTACTTCAAGTCAAAGAAAGCACAAGGTGCTCCGGCCACAAGTAACACAAAGTAGAATATTTTTTCAGAGTTGCCACCACATGCTCAACTTTCAAGGGAAAAACTGCCGAATTAGGCTTTTTAACAGCACTAAAAGGTATGAATTGGTACTATTAGTAACAGGTGCTTCTTTAGCTTCGTGGAGGAACAATAAACATCATTAACATGTTCTGTAGTCACCAACAGGATGGATGAGAATAGCAGGGCATCTCTTTCAAATGCCCGTCCTCAAGCATACACACGCTGGAAGCAGGACAAATGAACAACCTCCCTGCCATTTTCAGCACGTCAGCAACTCTAGCATCCACTAGCAAAGTTGAGTCCAAACATGTGCAAAGAACAAGTAGCCACAACTGTTACGCGATTGCAGCCTTGGGTCGCCTTTTTATATTCTGAATGACGAATGAACTATTATTCGTAGCCATGAACGGCCTCGTTTCCCAGCTTGCACACACAATCAATGCATCGTTAAATATCTACGCCAACATACCACTTCCGCGTACGCCTCAATGAAGAAAAACCGTGTACATGTGCAGTTTTCGTTTATTCGTTCAAGTTCCATCTCCACAGAGACAATACAACTTGGGTTGGGACTGTCAGGGAATATACCGGTATAAAAATAAACAGATCTCATCCTAAAAAGTCAGCTATTCCATCTCTGCATATGCAGTACTCTTAAAAGAAAAAAGAAAAAAAAAAGCTTCAGCGAAAGAAAGAAAACTATTTTAAAGCTTAACATTAGCTTCCATCCAAATCTGCACGCTGCTTGAAAGCCCCAATAAGCGTCCCAGAATGAAACATTAAAGTCTTGGTAGTCAGCTTTCCACGAGAGAAAGCAACTTTGAAACTGACTGTTCACGATTGGAGACAAAAACCGACATTACGAAGTTGCAAAATGACCCAAAATCTTCACAAATTTATTTTCAGTGTTTTACCTTTCTTCGCCATTTCCGGACACAATGAGAGCAGCATGAGGTTAGCAGCGTCGCAGCGGGCCTCAGCTAGCCCCGTCCGCCATTGCTCAAGCGGAATATAATGTACAGGGTCGACTACTACCAATCGAAAGGAACCGAAAAGCAGGCTTAGCCAGCATCCTTTTTTTAATGAAGCTGGAAAAAGCTATAGTTGGAGGTAACTCTCGTTGCAAAACACGCGGCCTATTGAAGGAACACCCCAAGCTGCTGGGCGACTTGCAACAGCGCCTTGAGGCCGGGCATGAAGCTGCTGGTTTCTGAGAAGTTGGACGTCGACACCAGGTGGCTGTGGATACCCAGGGCCGCTGCATAGTCCCCTTGCTGAATCATCTGCACTATCTGATGCAGGCCGTGCGTGGTTGCAGCTGACAGCTGAAAACAAACAACGGGCAGCGCCTTTACGACTAGAAAGAAAAACTGCTACGAGACAAATAAAGAAACCTTACTCAACTGCTTTCTGAACTCGTATTCTACAAGATATTTCCGAGGAAAGGCACTCCTAAAAGGGTTATTTCAAGGTTGTGTCCTGAGGCACCATCAAAAATTCTTTAAATTCGTGAAGTCTCAAGGGCTACCTTGAAAATTACACTTCCAACGTGCCCTATAAGACCATTTATTTAAAAAGCTAAAGAATGCATCTGAGCAAGTTAGTCAACTGACAGTGATAGTTAAATTAACCCTTTATATCATGTCCACCGTGACCAATAAACATTCAGCAAGGACGGTATTCGTGTAACAGGCGTCCCTTTCTGGTTTTTGTACAGACTAAAACAATAGCTGTATATTTTCATTTCCTTCCTAATTAAAGAGCTTTAGAAAAGCCCTTAATAAATTGCAATAGCAGTCTCAAATCATGCTTCAGATAACACAAAAACAACCACTATACTAATAGAACAAATGAAAAGCACCCTCATGGTCTCATGGTCGTGGCAACAAAGAAACAGCACTCACCACGTTTTCCCGTAACCTGTCGTAGAGATGCTCCAACTTCCGTGCAACATCGTCCAACTTCCTCCGAACTTGCTGGAGTGGCATGAGACAGACAAACTCAATGTCAATCCCAACGAAAACTCGCAGCTGAATATCCAAACTGCAAAAGCATGAAGTCGGTGGAACTCACCGGATTTGTTGCAGCCTGGACGCAGTTCTGCCGGAGGTCCTCAAAGGTGTCTTGGAGCACTTGGTTCTCGGGAGGGATGAGTCCCTTCTCCTTGACGGGCGCTGGTGGACAGACCTGAGGGACGGGCTGCCGCGCGAAGACAATTTTTTTTAGTCGGAGAAAGTCTTAACCTGTCACCAGAGGCGCTAGCTAACCTCCAGAACTTTTGAGGCCTACAAGCCACACTCCAGGCATGTGCCATGCAAGTAACTTGCAAGCATGAGCACTCCTGTCGCGGTGCCATTGGACTTATCCAAGCCGTGACAGGCGTACGCCATACTCTGCCCCCTAGCTCGACTGAGAGCTGGTCCCCCTAACACAGAACTAGAACAGGGTAAGTTCAAAGCAGCGACACCTGCATGCCTTGCTAACGTATCCTCACTGAAGCAGTGACACATACAGTCCGAATCACGCTTGACTGGAGTATGAGCGGACTTTTTCGTGCCAAAAGAACTAGCATAAGATACTGGCTGGGACGAAAATGGATGAAGAGGGGTTTAACCGGATGAATGAAGAGACAAAAAAAAATGCACAAGGTTCGGCAGTGAGACATAAATGTTCATATGCGCAAAAAAAAAAGGTCCGAGTTCGTGAACAGCAGGTTCACGATTTGCTTCGGTTAAGTGAGACTAGGACCAGACGCTGAAAAAGTACAGTCGCCGACCGATTTTTCGGACGCCGTTAATTCGGACATGTTCGACATTTCAGACCTAAAGGAGAAATCGTGATCTACTCAACAGAAATAATGCATATTCACGACCAATGTTTTAAACAGCTTGAAGTCCGAAAGTGCCATTATTCAGACAAAATCGTCACGAGCGATCAGCAGGAAACACCATTGAGAAACCGCCATTTTAGGTTCCGTGTTGGCTGCACATGGATTGGCTCGGTTTGGCAGCGCTACTTGAGCACTGCCAAGTCCTGCTAATACGTGAAGCTATGCTACGGCTTTTTTGTTTTCTCTGGCTGCACATCATTATCATCACCTTTGTTAACATTTTGCTTTGTTCATTCGTCATTCTGCAGTCGTGAACTTGCGCCTCTCATCTCGTCTTGGTCAATTGTGTTTTCGGACAACACTGGCTTAGACATCATGGCCCCACCTGTTCTTCCGCTGCCGCGAAGTGTCGCTAGGGAATGGCTATATTGATTGAATACAGACATATACATACATAAAGGCGATGAGCTCTTTCAATACTCAACATCGTAAGTTCTAAACCCAATTTTTCGAGGCACACCTTGACGACGGTTTTTCTCGATTGAGCCCAAGTCTCTTTATCAGCATCGTGGAAACGAGCAAAAAGAAGGTTAGACCAGCACGTTCTGCCCTTAGCCTTGTCACAGCGCATTCTTAGCTGAGATAAGTCGGTGATCGTAGATGATAACAAGGGATCAGGACCTGACTATCTATTAATGTCAAGGAAGGCTAACTCACGCGGGTTGCTCCTCTTTTTATTTATATGTGCCACGACCAATCGGAACGAAAGAGTGCCGTTTAAATCAGAGTTTTTTGTTAACATCCATGGACACATTTTTTTTCCAGATCCTACCATATAACAGTTTCGCTGTAAAAGTACTCGACCATAACACTAGAAAAGAAGGCAGCCATTCTCAAGCTAATAGAAAGTGGCCCAACACAAGCGGAGGCATAACCCAAAGCAAAGCACTATTGACGGCCTTTTTAAGCCCGCTTGGACATAATACAGTCAAGCTTTCAATCTGCAGGTTTTTCGGACTGCTCAATATTTCGGACGTTTTTTGGTCCCTGTAAAGTCAGAAAAATTGGTCGGCGACTATATATTGAAATGGGCCGCTCCTTCTTATATACTGCAGTGCTGTTCTTCCTCCACATAGCAAAGTATTAAGTAGTGTTGCGCATCTGCCAGTATAAGAGACAGTTCACATTTTCTGCATAAAGAGAATTATGCTCTCTTTTGAATATTATTATTAGGGTTCCGTGTTTTCGGTCCAAAAAAATAAAAAAAAAATCAGAAAAACACTTACTGGTATAATTTTCGTGAATTCAAATTTATACGATAAACTCAAAATTTCAATGTACCAATGCCAAAAGAAAGACAGTATATTTTACAAATAAGTTAGGTCAGCACACAGGGCCAATGGTTTTGAGAAAATGTCACCTCAGTTTTCTTTCAAATTTCGGACCAATGACAAGAGGTATCTTATCGCTTATCTCGTGACGGCTTATTTACGACAACAGGCCATTGTACTTTCGGGTCACGACAAAAGTCACTGTTCCGGTTTCCAGTTTTGGCCATACTATTTGTACTCCTTAGAGGAAGGAAGGGGTGTGCTTGTGTAACAGTGAAAGCTATGAACTATAAAGATCAGTTGACCCTGTGCGGCCGCGGGGTGGGTTGATGGATAGGATGGGATGAATACTAGCCAACTAGCTCCAGAAGTTTATTTATGTTAAGGTATCTATGTTTATCGAAGCAACAATTGTTTGCAACTGTTGTCGTGGGTTACATTAGTATTGCCAATGGCAATAGCGTCAATGCTGAATCCAGCTGAACAAATATTAATTGATACAAGAGCATTCTGTTGAGACTAGCATACATTTCCACCCCGATTTTATTTATCTTTATTTTTTAATAGAAAATACTGTAAAATCAAGCTCCGGATTTCGGAGAGTTGTGAATCTAACAAAAACAAATTCCGATAACTCCGAATTTGCGACAAAAATAAACTCTGAAACACCCTCCAAATTTGGTGAAAAATAAACTCTGAAAACACAGAATCCTAATTATATAAATTTTGAGAAGCAGAAATCCTAGTTCCGCATCATCTCGAGATTTTTGCCAGCTTTGCAGTCTTTTGCAGAGCTTCACAAACAAAAATGTTCTTGTGAATAAGAGCTTGGCATTTGCAGCCTCCTTCAACCTTCAGGTTGTTTTACCTTAATTACCCTGCTTCTAATCAAGCATAATATAAAGCCTTTAGCGTGATAGAATGACTAAAAGAAGTGGAAGCACTACACACAAAAGCATCGCCCAGCAATATAATGCATGTAACTGAATGATCCGAATCACCCAAATCAAACCATGAGCACAGAAAACCATTTCAGCTTCAGAGTTTACTAAAGAGCCCTATGCAAAATGCAAAAAGGGGAGAGGGGTTAGTAGGTGTTAGTAGCAACAGCCTTCACCTGCCAAGATTGATTAATAGAACACATGCTATACCGGCATTAGGTATCAAACGAAGCAAAAGAGAGCTCAGAACCGACAATCTCTTAACCTGGACCACAAAGTGTCGACGAATCTGCAGGCTCGGATGGTTAACAGGTCTGTTAAAAATTTTTGTTCTGAACTCTCTTTCGCCTCGTGTTGCAAGTCACCTTCGATTCGCAGGATTTACTCACAGTTGCAAGTGGATTGAGGATTGAAAGGTGAGAAGGAGGGCGGTCCTTCACCAAGAAAAAAATTTAAAACAAGCGTAAGTCGGCTGACAAACAAAAGCACCAGCAACAGAAACAGAGCATCCCTCTATGAACCATCCCAGCTGGAAATCACCACCACCATTGTTTTCTTACAATGTGCATGCAATATTGGTATACGGTAAAGAAGCCGTCCCAACAGCAACATCTCAAATTTGAAACAGCCTCAACATTTCACTCTTTATTCCTTGGTACACTCAGGGCAGACCTGCAACCCCATGACATACCGTAAAGTTCCGAGAGGACGCCCGCCCCCGAGGGATCGCCCATCCCGTTTTTTATGGTTAAATATCTTTAACATAAAAATTCCAAAACATCAGCAACTCCCCGATTCCCTTCGGACGTGACGCGATGTCACACGGGAATCGCATCCGCCTTGCGATCTGCTGTACCAGTACGTCTGATAAGCGAGTTCATAGTGGGTTCCCGGATTTTGTCCGCAACCTGCGCGCGCGATATCGACTCCCATAACACGCGAGTTCCCGCGTGTATATTGCATCGTGAAATGCGAATCTGCTGCGCCCGCGATCTGCGGTATCCAGACCCGTGGCATGAGAGTTTGTCGCGGATTCCCGCGTTTTTGTCCACAACCTGCGCACGCGAGTCCCCGTGTGTATGTTGCATCATGAAATATGATTCTGCTGTGTGTGCGAACTGCTCTATTCGTTCCCGTGAGATGAGAGTTCTCAGCGGGTTTTTGAGGGTCCTTCGCACGGTAAAATGCAGATCTGCTGCGTCTGCAACCGGAGGTATCCTTTCCCGTGACACAAAAGTCCGTAGCAAGTTCCCGTGTGTTTATCGCATTGTGAAACGTGAATTTGCAGTGTCCGCGATATGGAGCATCAGCAGTCTTGGGTAAGTTACTTTTAAAAAGTAATTCGTTACAGTTACAGCTACTTTCAGAAAAGTAACGAAGTTACCGTTACAGTTACCACAACAAGAGTAACTCGTTACAGTTAGTTACTTTTAGAAAGTAACAACGTTACTTTTGAGTTACTTTTCTAAAATACAAAAAAAATTAAGAAAAACTAGAAAATGCCCCCTCACCAAGTTTTATTGCTTAAAATTTAAAAAGTATGCTTTTTACTTCACATTGTAACTTAGCAGTAGTTGCTTCTCGAAATTAATGTCTGAAAGTTTCCTCTCATTTGATGGCGACACGTCCCTGCCCTTGCTGAACAGACCCAGCGCAACCAGAGCAACAAGCAAATTCCAAGAAAACAGCAGTAAATTTTGCCTCGACTGTTGACGCCACGCCAGAGTAGTGGCGCAAATCAAAATACGAAACATGCGCAGTGCCTTTTGTGTCTAGTGTTGTTTGACGGTTGATTCACCCGATTAAAAAGCGGTTGCTCAGAAAAAAGAAAAACCGCAACATAGATAGTGCTTCAAGGTACTAAGATGTAAGTGTTCAGTCACAAAGTACAAGTGCATGCGTAAAGATAACTAGATTTTTTTTTTTTCATCACATCTACACGTGGCTATATTCGGGTCATGACTCGCAAGAAAGAACGTATTCAGAAAATTGTGCAAGGCCAACTTGATATTCGAAATGTCGAAACGGACAATTTGCAAAGTGCAAGGAATAGCTAAATTGTACTCGGTCAATGATATATTGTTCATAAACTGGAAAGTAACGACAAAAGTAACGTTGTTACTTTCATCGTTACTTGAGAAAACGTAATGGAAATACAGTTACAAGTTAGATTTTTTTTAAAGTAACTCGTTGCAGTTACAAGTTACTAAAAAAGTAATGAAGTTACAGTAACTTGTTACTAGTAACGCATTACTACCCAAGACTGAGTATCAGTTTCCACGTCACATTGTTTGTAGCGGGTGCACCAGTGTTGTTATCATTAATTTTTGATAAAGTTTTGCTGTGGCATCCCCAAAGATAGCCCACCCCATGTTTTTCACCATTTATCTCTTCATTTTGGGTGGGCATTCTTTCGGAACTTTCTGGTAATCGTTTTTGTGACTTCACTATTCTGTAAGTATGAAGGCACAAGCATACAAAAATACAGCAAAAATGTTTTTCTTGTCCCAATTACAGCAGAATCTTGATGATACGATCACAGCTCATCCAAGTTCAGGGATGATACAAATTTTTCAGAATCCCCGGCCCATGTGCCTTAAAACTATGTATGAATGCTGTCTCAGGCCGCAGTGAATCGTACAAACGAATGTGTCGATCTTGAGAAGGTAGCATACATTGTTTACTGATCCTCTAGGGTGGCATCACTCGGCTTCTATAATTATTACAGGTGCTTTTGTGTCATTTTTCTCGCTGTTCATTCTTTATGCGTCCCGTGCGATCACAACAACGGTGGCTGCGTTAAGAAATTCTAAAGCCTACCAATGTCCAGCGTTGCTGCACTATCTATGTCGTCACGTGATTCGACTTGCTAGAGTGACTCGCATCCACCTACATCCAGAGTTGCTGCTTTAGTTTTGTTGTCGCATAATAAACCGGCTTTAGTACGTAACTCGCAATCACTCGGGCAAACATGAGAAGTGACGTTTGGAATCAGGGTTGACCATGTGATTGCCTGAACCTGCAGAACTGTCGGTCAAACATTTAGCTCTGTTCACATTTTTATTTTCTTCAATTGACTTTCAGAAGAATGTTTGTAGTCTGCCCAGCGAGTGAATTGGGAAGTGTCTCACAAGAGAAAAGCGCTGTCCTTCAGGCACTGTCCTTGCGGAAAGTAAACAAGGAAGAAAACGCGTGGACTTAGCGAAGGAGTTAGGCCTGGCACCGTCAACCCTGTGTACCACCATGGGTAAATGGCAACGGATAATAAAACACGCCCAGCATTTTGGCGTCAATTTGAAGCAGGCAAAGGCTGCACAACATGTGAAGCTTGAAGAAGTCCTTTTGACGTGGTTTAAGGAGGTGGAGGTGGCGGGCGTTAACATTGACGGCAAGGTGCACATCAAAATGTCACTCGGCATTGAGAATTTACAAGCATCGGGCTGTTGGGTGCACTGTTTTAAAGCTAAACATGGCTTGGCGTATGAACGAGTCTGCGGAAAAAGCAAGAAAGTGGACGAATCTGTCATCACTGACTAGTAGACAAGCACTCTCCCAATGCTGATTGCAGGTTATGAAGCCCGTGATATACCCAATGCTGATCAGGCGGACGTCTTCATCAATGTACATTCAGAGAACAGCCTTTGCTTCAAGGGCCAGACTTGCAAGGGCAGACAGAAGAGCACACAGAGAGGGACTGCTCTTTTTTGTTGCATCTCGGAGATGATGAAGCTTACCGTCATCGGCAGATTCGTGAAGCCAAGGTGCTTGAAAGGTGCAGGCCGTTTGCCCTACATTTACAAGGCAAACAAGAAGTCCTGGGTGACAGGAGCCTTCTTCCAGTAATTTCTTATTCACTTTGAGAACAAAATGTTGTGCAATGGCAGGAAGATCCTAGTGTTCCTTGACCGCTGCGCCGCCCACCCGAAGCAAGTCAACCTCAAAAATGTTAGTGTGGAGTTTCTACCGACTAACACGACATGCCGGCTACACTCTCTGGATGCCAGCATAATTCGAAATGTAAAGTGCCATTTCAAGGGGCTTCTGGTGCGGCGTCTGCTTGGCAAGATCGATCGGCAAGATGAGGAGCCTTGGATAAGCCTCGTGGACGCTTTGCACTTCCTCCTTGTGTCCTGGGACCATGTTACTGCGAGCACGATAGCAAACTGCTTTCGCAAGTGTGGATACGTAAATCCCTACAGTAGCTGCTCCTCCTGAGCCCGAGGAGAACAGCTTGACAATTGAATATTGGAACCTACTTAGGTGCTGAAAGATCGGCCTCCGATTTCATTACCGATGACGACAACCTCGTGACTTGCAGATAAAGGACTGCAGAGGGGATCGTCGACGAACTGACAGCACCGCAAGGAGAGTCGAGTAGCAAAGATAACAACGACGACGTAAGTAATGACGAGCTACCACCAACAACCACCGAAACGCCAGATGCCTTCGACGTTCTGCGGTGCGTGGAGAGCCTGACTAACGTCAGCGACGACACGTGCGCATGTTTTTACAAGTTACAAAAATGTCTCATGGGTGACATCGGAAAAAAAAAAAAAAAAATACTCGGAAGAACATCAGTGATTTCTTTGGCTGCGAGTCATAGCAATCCACTTATCGTATTTACTCGCATAATGAATGCAATTTTTTCCCCGAAAAATTTAAACATATTTGGGGGGTGCGCGGGGTAAAATTTTTGTATTCACACACTTAGTGCAAATGTCATATTAGGTTCCAGTATGACATGGCAAGGTAGTGTGGCATATCTCCACTGATGGAGGCGTACCCAATGCGGGAGGCACTCACTTGATCGAATGACATTTTAGCGAACGCCCACGTTTCACCGAATGACACGTTAGCGAATAGTCGGACGCCGCGAAGCGGCGTTTTCGGGTGGGCCAAATGGGTTCACATTTTTGTAATGAGCCGCCGCAGACTGTCGCCGCGAAGCGGCGTAAAGCGCAGCGCGGCAAACGGGTTAACGCGCGCCCCCGTTATTCGCTAAAACGTCCATTCGCTCAAATGTTGCTGTTCGCTAAAATCTCATTCGCTCATGTGATATGGACCCACCCAATGCTGGTCAGGGGCATGCCACAGTAACCACACTTTATAAATTGTGAACCTTTTTAGGTGGCGTGCCTTTTGCCGAAGGCACGCCGAAAGTGCTGAGTGAGCTCTACGATGCTCACTCAGCACGGAGAGCAATGCAACCGTTCTTAGGCCTAACCACTTTCACGATTTCACTGTCCGGAAGCAGACCACAGACGACGGTGTGTTTGTTGACATCAATGCATTCGATAGGCGAAAAATGTCCGCAGCTGGGCAGTTCCTTGATCTAAGCTTCGTCAAGAGAGCGCGCCGCTCAGTTTCACGGTTGATCACTTCTGCAACTACACACTTGTAGCCATTACGAGAGCGGCTTGGCTTGGCTTGGCTTGGCTTGGCTTGGCTTTACTTTGCCTGACCACTTGGCGGCAAAAGAAAATTGGCTTGGAAAGCTTGGTGGCTAGCTAAGTTGGACGCAATTTGAGACTCGCAGACCCGAAAAAGTCCAAATATTGGTACCCGTTGTGGGAGGTGCGTTCATTATGCGAGTAAATACGGTATAACGATGAAGAGAAAAACCCGAAATTTCAAACATTACAACCAATTATTGTTTTATCTGGACTAGAAACTGGTCTCTTCTAGTCTAGAAACTCTACAAACTGATCATTACAAGAAATAAATCATTATACATGGCTTGCACTGACGTCACATCGCATACTTTTGACTACCATGCAAGAGGGAGAGAAGGAAGCTTCTTTTGTAAGAATTTTGAGTGATGGGTTAATCTTCTAAATCTTCTGGGGGAGAATAGCAACATCTGTGAAAATCTGAGAGACAAAAAAGAGGATCTTGGTAAGAGGGGAGTTCCTTCTTCCCTTCTTCTCTAGTAGGAGCACTCTGGATGACATCACGTGCAAGCCATGTATATCTGTGGATTGTTATAAGTGAATTGCACTGTATGACCAATAAACGGCAAATATGCCTCCCCTTAGCTCGATTGTAGTTCGTACGAATTTCGAAAGATACATGTATATTCTGCAACCACGCGAGACTTGCATTGTCGAGATTCTACTGTACACGCTAATCACTATAAAAGTCATTTCAATGATCAAGTTGATGCATTATACACACGTTGGCCCCTCCGCCGTGGGGCCAATGTCACGGGGCCGCTTCGCACAAGCCAGACGTTTTCATCGTGTGGTGCACCCTCCGGGAAGAAATTTGGCAAATTTCTCTTTAGCGTGAATACTGCTTTAGCGCCAGTGCAAACTGGAGTACTACTATAAGTAGCTACGACCCTAGCAGAGCTCGAAGGACACGAGTTGCAGTTGGCCGATACGTACCTGCTGGTCTTGCGGGACTGAGACCGGTCCCCCTATGGCCCCAGAGGGCAACGGGGGCTGCTGGGGCACAAACTGCTGCCCAAGCGGAGGAACGTAGCCTCCCTGGAAGCCCGGTGGGGGCGCTTCGCCCATTGTTGGCGCCGGGGCTCCAATTAGCGGCGTCATGATGGAGGCCGTCAGGTCAAAAGTGGGAATCGCAGCTGCCGTCTGCTGAGCCTGCCCACAAAAGGGAAGGACACGCTGAGGACACTCGGACAGCCGTAGAATCCCTACCCACAAGCAAAGTCAGCGTGTTTGTAATAAAAGATTGCTGCCAAAATTGCTGAGCAGACTGTGGACATCCATGAAGTCTTCAACACTTATAACCGATTCACACAATTTTTCGATCTAACTGTCCAGCCAACGAGCATCTCACAACCAACCAAAGACCTTTGTCGTAGCATTACCGCAATTCCAATTTTGCTCTCTTACTATATATATATAACAACATAGCAAGACCATTGGTATTTGCCATTTAGAAGCCAAGAGATCTTATCACATTCATGCATCCCCCGTCAATTGGACCACAAACCAACAACGAATATAAAAGTGCATTGCATTCATTCATAAATGCTAGAGCATTTAAAAAGAGTTCAGAAGCAAAAAACAAGTTTTGTTAACAGTAAAGGTATGTTCACACAGTACCGTTTGCTTATGTTACGTTATGTTGAGTTACGTTGCAAAGCTTACATCTGCTTATGTAGAGCTACAACCGCAAGTGCAGTCGTAGCTCAACGTGTTGTCCTTATGCACTTCTCTACCTTCGTGTTTCAGTGTCCTTGTGCACACCTTAATCTCCGTGTTTTGTAAAAATTCAGCTATCCACATTAACCGGCACATTCGTGCTTCATAGGAGGTGTGGCAATCAATTCAAGAAGTACCGGGCTTGCAGGTGACATGCAAAGTATGCACGTTCGAGTGACTTGGGGTCGTATTATAATGCAACACAAGAAAACACAAGTAAGCGGTACTGTACGAATGTGTTGTAATACATGTTCCAGAGACAAAATTGGAAGTGGCAGACCCCGTAATGATCAATGCATGGCTTTTTTGCGCTTAATAAACTGACCCTAAACTGGCAAAAGTGTGTTAATCTGGGACTGGGATGATAGAGGGAATTGAGGCATTTGAGGGAAACCATAGAATGATAGTAGCCTTTCGTCTAGATTAGGATAGAGGAAATAAAAAGAAACAATCCAGAACAAGAAGATCATCCAACAGACATTGATAAGTGGCTTGATCAATCAGGAGAGCCAAGTTGGACGTTACGAAACAACCCTTCGAAAATGTCCTTGAGGCATTGTTAAAAAAAGAGGAAAGAAGACTGTTGAATGGAAGGAGAAGTTACGGGAAATAATCCTGCAATAGTAGGGTGTTTCCACGTCAGATCGTGCAATCATATTTTTTATATTTATGTAAAACATATATGTTCTTGGGGGGAGTTTTCAGTTACATGCGAGCGCCATAGCTAATTTTCTTCCAGATATATAAAGTTTTGAAGCTCAGGGCGTGGAAATTGCCAAGAGTCCGCTGTGGTACTTTGCACAGCCGCCAATTTTAACACCGAAGCCTGCACGTAGTAACATATTTTCTACTGATTTTATGAAAAGTTTACGACACATATATAACATATTAAAGATTACAATAAAAGTTTTCTTATGCAAAAAAAATTACAAAACATGTCAAATAAACATGTTTTTGGGACATGTTCACAAATTATTTACCAACGAACTAGTTCATATAAAACGACACAAAATATAGCAAAATGATCCTCTTTAAGTGCATTTTTGGAATATACAAGAAAAACACAGTTAGCTATTATTGTAGTTCCGTTATTAACGTAGAAATGCAGCTGATTTCTCTTAATGTGGCAAAATGGTACATCAATATTTAAGAAACATCACTTTTTATTTTCTTTAAACTCTCCTTAACTGTCTACAGGGACTTGAACTAACTTGTGATGGCAAAACATCAGTAATGTATGACCTCGTTAACAGAAAAAACGACAACAAACCTTTGTTCAAACTGAGCTAGCTTGTCTTCGTTATAGGGGCTTTACCACACGACGTCAGCTCCAAAGAGGGGTTCTCTAGAACTGAAAAAGGTTCTACAAGGGTGTTACTCTATTGTAGGGAGTAAAAAGTTACGGTGTCCCTAGTTTAGCTTTATATTTGCATTTCCTCACGTTGCCACCTAGGACCCCCCTTCCCCCCTTTTTTTTTTTTAAACACGTCCAAATTGAGTCTGCTTTACGGAGCGCCGTAAAGGCGCTCCGTAAAGGCTGTGCATCCCTTATATCTGGGTGGATGTGGATGCCTTTCTTGTGAGTGGATTTAAGTTTACAATTATGCCCACCATGTTTGTAAATGAGATGGTACCTTTAAAGGGACACTGACAGGGTATTTATGCTCGCCGAGGATTTTAGTTGTACTATGAGAGCCCAACTACCCAGAATAAAATTTGCGGCGCGAAATTCGGTTTCTTCCTTCCAGAAAACCGCCGATCGAGAACTGTCCGGTTTGAGTCGCGCTCACTCTCTTTTCCGTGGTCACGGGCCATTTTCCAAGGTTTAGACACGACCACCAAATTTAATGAAACTCATGGGTCGTTGAAGGCACACAGTCAATATTAAAAATAGAAAAAAATATGAAACCCATTTCGTGTGACTTTCAAAAAGCTGCAAATACTACGTTGATTGAAAAAAAAAAAAAAAAGGGTTGCACGGACAATTGGAAGCATTCTGTGCATTCACTGCATAATTTTCAACATGGCGTCGTTTCGCGTATCATGGGACTCGCGGATGGCAGCGCACGACGGGCAAGGGACCTCTACCTCAAAACTGTTGTTCACGGTATTGGCAAATTCTGTCTTCTTTCGAAAGACAATTTTTAGACCGATCAAAAGGATTGATATTCATCCCGTACGACACTCCCGACCAGCAAGCCGATTGCACAAGGACGTCGCCGAGCCATTGTCCTTTCTCGTGGCTGAAGACATTGTTCGCGCAAACGTCAAGCACCAAGTGTGTACTTCGAGTTGAATACGCACGCATACGGTTTCTTTACTAGGTGCGAATGTGGCCAATGCGTGGTGCTGCCCGAATTCGAGCCGGGAGTGCATGTACTGGAGGGAAATCGGCAGCAAACTTTCCAACATACAGTCGACCAGCTGCGTTTCTACCATGACCAAATTACTACAAATGAAAGAGTTCCCTCAGTAGCTCGGGGGAAAGACGTCCGCTTCACAAGCATCGGGCACGAGTTCAATCCCTAAAATAAGCGTACCTTTTTTTTCTTTTTCTTTTTTTGTCAAACATTTTGTGATGTTTACATTTCTTTTTTTACAATTATCACTGAAAAAAACAATTGCTGTGGACGATACGTCACTGAACTAAATGGTATGGGATTCCCTTTTTGACACCTGCGAACTCAACGTAATCACTTTCGACTTTCCATGGCGTTTGCGTATAGCCAAATGCTCCTCCCAAAAACATGGCTTTCACATACATATTTTTACAGAAATATAAAAGAGATTACACGGAGACACCCAGTGCAAACATCTACCGATAACAGATCGGCCCCTTCTCGCACAGCTCCATGCTTCAGAGAACATTCAAACCTCTTCTGGCTTCAATGCACGAGCACTGCCCCCCCCCCCCCCCCCCCCCCGACAGCTTGAAAGCAAAATCCAATCCTTACCTTCGTAGACGGCCTCACTGGGGGTGGGTCGTTCCAGCCGGGAGGAGCATTCCCGCTATTGGACGAAGAAGACAGGGGCGGGGCGGGGGGAGGAGCCTGGGGCTGCATCTGTGACACTGTGTGACCAGCAGGCACTGCGAATTGGCCAAGATGAAAATAAAATCAGTCAGAGGCTACATAAATGTCTTCGCTACATCGGCACCACCCCAAGTGCCCGTACCAGCAGTACAGGTATGCTTCCAACTTTTCTTCACTTCATATAGGGGTATTCACACGAGGGAGAAATTCCGGGGATTACTCCGCGGCACGCGCATCCCACGACAAAAACGTCAGGCTTTGCGATGTGCAAAAGCCTTGCGTTTTCATCTCGTGATGCGCTCGTGCCGGGGAGAAATCCCCAGGATTTCTCCCTTGTGTGAATACCCCTTATACATCATTACTATATCAACCCTCACTATGGAGAGGTTCTAGTGTACTGGAACTGACTACAGGGCTATGTTTTAATCAGCATACCAGAATGATCCAGTAGGTATTAGTAATTTGCTCGACAGAACTGAGGGAAAGCATAAAACATGTAAAGGAATATTTTATTCTATCTTAGTATCTGTTTTTCCCTGTTCTTGCCATAAACCATATGTTATTCCATGCCTGTTGCATTAGCATTGTTTTATGCACTCAAAAAAAAAAAAAGAAGCTTTACTTTATTTACGCTAATTAGACGCAAGCTTTTTATGAACAGAGCGTTGCATGCCCACTCTCCTGCACAGCATGCATGAGCCAATCATTGCAATTTATAAAAGGAAGTGAGTGAACAGTGGCTCTCAGATTATGCTCAGGCCTAAGAATACGACCTTGATATATTCAAATTTGAGGCACGCTGTCAAGCAAAGTAACACAACACAGGTTGCTGTCATGGGGTGAGAATGCACTAAGCGTGCATTCTCATTCAAGGATCCATTTCCACAAACAAGAATGGTTGGCATCCCATATGCTATGATGGAGGGTGAAACCTGCTAACAAGATGTGAATCTGGCTAGAGCTCTGCTGCAATGCTCAGAGCAGACACTATGGGAACTTTGAAGCTAACAAAAACTTTCCAGGGATTTACCAGCCTGGGTTTTATTTTAACAAATTTGAGAAGCATATTGATCTGTTTTGTCTGGGAACTTCTCTGAAATAAGCTCTCCGATACTAAATGGGCAATAGTCGTTTGGTGATACTAAGGGCAGTTCTAGGACAGAACATGTTCTCAATGCATGGCTTCTGCCAAGCTCTACATTGCTAGCGAGATAGTAGTACTAGTACTTAACACGCCGCTATGGCTCTGCCATCGCAGAAAAAAGGTCCCGACCTGTAGATCCATAGGCACTGGGGAACGGGGTGGTGGCTGCACTGGAAAGGCTGAAGGAAGAATTCTGGTCCCCATAACTGCAAGAAGAAATTGCATCTCGGCTTTACTCGCTTCTTTCTTGCATACGACTAAGAAGCACCGTAGACAATTACAGGCTGCAGATATTATAACGAGTCGACCCAAACTTCTAACCGACTAGAAAGTTGTGACTGCTGGTCTTTACACGGTCTGCACTGATGTCCTATCAGCCGCCATTCTGGTGGCCTTGATACAAAATGCTTACCTTCTGCAGTGCAGATTTCACACCACCGAATCTGTTTTTCTTGGCAAGAATAAGCAAGAGCAAGTAAAAAGGAGGGAATGACGTAAAATGACCACCAGCATGGGGCGATGGCATCACATGCAGGTCATGCATAGTCTAGTGTCGTTGCAGATAATAAATTGCAACAAGCTTCATATCCGTTCCTTACAATGCACTTACTGTGATAAGTAAAAAAAAGATGCGACAAACAGATTTCTTGCTATCCATTTGCTGTCCTAGGCTTACCCTTGGTCTTTTCCGTAGAAGTTCTGGGACTGCGGTTGTGATGATGGCATGTAACTTTGAGAAGGAGTGTAAGACGATGACTGGTAATACTGCGGCTGCTGGCCGTACCGCTCTTCATTGTACACGCAAGGATCGTGGACGCTGGGGTAGCGTGACCTCGGACCTGTGGTTGGGAGACGGACAATGGAAAGAACAGAAGACTCATAGTTGGCACACTCATAGTACAAACAAACTCTGACGAATCAGCTGGTCAGCATGTACTCGTCATACTCCTGTTTAAACAAGGACTTCTGAACAGGGACAAACGAGGTCCAATCCTTGCTAACCTTACATGACACACTGAGTAAATTGCTCGAGAGAAACAAATATACTAATGGTGAATTCCGCTCGCAGATCTCGAGCGCTCCAAAAGCGCTCCATTTGGAGCGCGCATATTTTGCTCGCAGATCTGGCTCGAGTTGGTCATCTTCCACTCGTAGATCTCTGGCAGCGCCCGCTCCACGGAGCGCATCGAACCCCGCCGAACTTGCTCTGCGGGATTTCACAGATCTCTCCGGAAGTTGACAGAGTGGCCCACGTGGTTTCCATCTAAATCGGCAGTGCGCATGCGCAGCGAGGTTGGAGAGATAGGCAAACCGGTCGGGCCGTTGAGTTGGATCTGTGCGGGTGCGTCGGTTGTTTACGCGGGATTGTGACGGCTCGAACGCTTCTACCTCGCGTAGATCAGGGATGCAAAGCCGGGGCTGTGGAGTGTGCTAAATCGTAAGCGCTGACATCTGTGATCGTGAGAGGAAGAACGACAAAAAAGCCGGAGGCACACGCAAGGTTAGGCCTGTTCATTCTGCAGCCAATGATTGTTTGCCTTTTTACACTGCATTCCGCCAGCGTTTTCAGGTGAAATAAAACAAGAAGTGATTAGGCAACGACCGCGCAAGGTACGGTTTGTTACCTCTGTGTTTATTAAAGGCGTAAACGAAATCTGTACTCCACCCCTGGTAATCGCTGTCCGTGCCCCGCCGCTTCGAGGCGGCCGAAAGGTATGTGACGGTGCCGAACGCGGACGTATTCGTGATTTCTGACATGGGCGCCGTTGAACGTATAATTTCGCCCGGCCTGTGTCACATGTTATTTCTGCAGCTAAGCAGTGACAGTCGTCACTGGTCGTCGGAAAGATCAGTCTGCTGAGGCGTTGGTGAGCCTGTCAAGTTCGAGCAGCGGCCATTTTGAACGGCGGAGGGGAAAGCGGTGGGGAGGGTTGTGGGGGAGGTCGCTCCAAAAATGCAAGTTTATCTCCCACTCGTCGATTCGGAGCGGGTCCCACGGAGCAGAATTTTGCCTCCCTCGCGGATTTTGGAAAGCGCTCCGGATCTACGAGTGGAATTCACCATAAGAAATTCCAAACAGTTCCTCCAGATTGTGAATTAACTACTGTCTTCTTAGATCTAAGACTCAATAAAGTGTCTGTTTTTATGTTCTTTGTTCATGCAACTCGGGATAATAAATTGGCGCTCACTTCACAAAAGACAAAGTCTGTGTTGATAAGATTTTTGGTGTCAAGTTTTCGTTTATCTATCCATGGAAATAATATTCAGCAGATTTATTAGGAGTTTGCTATAAACCCTAAAACAGGAAACCTTACTCTCCCTTTCAAATTGTGTGCAGCGTTCTCAAAGACACAAGCATGACGGTGTATGTCTGCCAAATACATGGTCTGCACAAGTGCTTGTGCCAATTCTTACAGTTCATTTTAAATCGAGCTTCAGCATCTCAGACACCCTATACTTCAATTCAGTTTAAAGGGGCAATGCAACAATGTTTTTACTTTGTGTAAATACACCTTCGAACGTTAATGACCTGTAAAACAAGTGTTCATTTTTCACCACACGCAATCGAAGCCGCAGAAAAAAATTAAAGAAAAAGAGAAGCATTCACCCCCTCAACTCGCTTCCAGAACAAGCGACCACATGATCGGGAGCCGATTATATGTTGCCAATGTTGATCATAGCCACGTGCTGGGGTTGCCAAAGCACAGGACACGTGCTGGGTTCCAGACATTGTTATGGTTCGGCTATTGTCGGCATTGCAGCGATTGGACACGGGCCACTACCCGAATGCTTCTCGAGCTATCAATTATCACGAGCCCAAATCAAGTGCCCACGCAATGCTCAAGTCCAATCTATAAGCCGCATTCAAATACCATCACTGGAGGATACTGCGATCCCCATGTTACATCATCAAGTTTTGTGAAAGAGAGATTGAAAGAAAACAGTCGCTTTTTTTTTCCTTGAAATTACACCGCAACATAGGAGTTTCTTGGCCAGTGGCAATGCGTGCGAGTGTCCTTGAGCCCCACTAGTGCCAGTAAGCTCGCGTAAAGGGAAAAACATTCCAATTGAATGTTGTTGCTACGCCCCTTCAAGAACAGGTACAGTAATCTTTCGTTAGTTCGACCTCAGTTAATTCGAATTTTCGTTTAATTTGATTGCGTTCAAAAGTCCTGGCGAGCGCCCATGTATTTCTATGGGAGGAAAAGTTTGATACTAGTTCAAACTCGAGAAGACTCCGCATTGGATAATTCGTCCCGAGCGAATGCACGCAAGCTCACATCGCACGGCACCACAGCAGAAAAACCACCAACGTACTATGGCGAAACATGGGCCCTTTGCTGCAAAGCCAAACGTGCGCAAATATGCGCCTGCTCCTCTACGCCGTTGAGATGGACCGTAGTGAATAACACGAGCCAGCGCAACCGATTTGGCGTGGAGTAGCGCGGGGAACATAGCACGTAGTCGGACGCGGAGACAGCGCGCACTCTCGAAACGCTTTCCTGTAGCATCATGTGCGGTCCATCTTGCGCGTCAGAAAGCTCAAGTTCTCCTTTCCTTTTTTTTTTTTTTTCTGTCACATTTTTTTTTTTTTTTTTTTTGTGTGTGTGTGCGTGATTTTTTGGGGTATGTGACATTTAGTTACGCTGCTCTCCGGAGTATGTTTTTGGACATGTGTTTTAGGTGCAGACAGCAGCAGACCATTGGTGAGTACTTTGGACTATCGAAAGAGGTTTAGTTTTAACTGTTTTTCTGTCCTTTTTTTAATTCAATCATTCGGATAATTCAACCAAATTTCAAGGTCCCGTCGAGGTCGATTAACGAAAGTTTACTGTATTATTGATGTGCGGTCAATCAGCGGCTGGTCAGAGCGCCCTTGAACCCCGCCAACAACCCTCAAGCAGAACGCAATTGAAGGCACGGGTGTTCTGCGGAAGGTCTTAGAAGACTGTTGATCTCATGCACGACTTCAAGAGCACCGTGCGCACCTTTGGCATGGGTAGCAGTGGCTGCTGCGTCCACAGGTGGTGGTGGCGTGGGTGCCACTGGTGGCTGGTACATGGGCTCGGTATGCTGGGTCGCCGGAGCTCCATACCCACCATATCCACCGGAGTTCTGTCGCACAAACTGGTTCCCCTGGAAAAAAAATGATATGAAAACTCAAAAGATTTTACTCCATTTTACTCAATTGAACCGCTGCTGCGGTTAACTTTTGACGAAACGCAGCGGACACTACAAGCCATCCGAGTCAATCCAGCGCCGTGAATGTATTGCGTGACTAAATGCCCCAGCACATCGCTGCTCCCCAGCAACAGTCATGTGATACTCACAAAGCACCGGATCAGCTTCAATGGTTCATAGTGTCGTCTGCAGTGTATCATAAGCTAAAAGAAACAAATAGGAATCTTTCGGCAGTCCTGGAAATCTAGCTAGGTATTCCTCTCTTAGTGCCGGCCAAGCGGAGAGGAAACGAGCCCCTTTCGTACGAAGTTTGAAGGAACAAGGTAACCCATGGAGGGCGAACAAAAACGCAAAGAGAACAAAAACAAAAAGTCGAGTTCTAAGTAGATATATACCTGTAAATGAACAAGCACAAAGAAAAACTAACAAAAAAATTAATGCACTCTATGAATGAGTTTGAAAGAAAGAGTCAGGAGAAAGGAAGTCTGAAAGAAAACCAGAAAACTAACTTACCAAACGACAAGAAAAACGGTGCTGTCTTTCTTTCCGCCGAAATAGCTTATGCGGAGTGCAAGTTTGCCTGTTACTTGCACAGGGGTTGCGTTGATGTCGGAACGCCGAGCTCCTATCGGCCAATTGAAAAAAATAGTGGGTAGACCTCAAAGCACCTATCATTGAGGTCTAATCACTAGCCTTTCAATCGAAGCCAATCAGAGCTCGGCTTTGTTCTGACGTCACCGCAACTCCTGCACAAGAAGCAGACAAGCTTGCGCTCTGCATACAGTCATGCCTCGTTAATAAGGACCCAGTTAATAATATCTTGCTATATAGAAAATCTTTTTCGGGATGAAATGGTTAAATACAAGCCTTTTGGTAAGATTATTATAAGTAACTCACGTCATAGACTATCTTCCGGGGAAACGGAGGTGTCCGCATTAACGAGACATCATTGCACTACCAACAAGCCCAAATTCCTGCAAATGTCGCTGAATGTGAACCCATCAGTATGGAAGTACATAAACACGGGGGCAGGCAGAACAACACACCTTAGCACTGTCTTGTTAATCCCTGTAAAACCTTAAGATAAACTTTAACTATTGACTAAGTTCACATAAAAACCACACTGTTCGAAGGAATGTCGAACCAACATTTCTGAGCGGCATCCTTTGAAACCAATAGACCTTTCCGAAAAATCTCAGGAGACGGTACGGTGAAGGAAGCTGTGGGGCTGTACACACGTACGCTCACGCTGACTCGACGACTTTGCATATCCTAAAACAAACCAATTCAACCTTTTTTTTTTTTTAATTTGGAGCTCGGAGTGCGCAGAAAATAAAGCAAGCACAGAAGGTCATCACATACTCCGTCTTGTTTTTCTCCTGACTTCTCAGAGTTCTGAAATCACAAAGTGTTAAGGGGGGACACTACCCAATAGGGTTAACTTCTTAACCTATGGCTTAATATGAATGAAATTTAGAGCATATACTGGAAGTTGCAAGGCAGAATGCAATGCAAAGTTTCATCAGTGTACATGAGTTGTAAAATAACTTGTAGTCATTTCTATCAGGAACACACTGACTTTGTTTAGGAAAACTATCGTTAGGAAACTAATGTAATACTGAACATTTTTCTACTCTAGATCTGCAGCAGAATGCCTAGAGAGTGCAGCTGTGAAAAGAAAATTTCCAAAAAGGAATTTACTTCATGCTAACATCGCAGTGAAAAATCAAAATGTTTTTGCCTTTTATGTCAAGCACAAAATCTTAACATCTTTTATAAAAGGCATCCACCAAGTCAAAAACCAATTCCATAGTTGCACTGCCCATAAAATTCTGCTTAGGAAAAACAATAAGCGAGTCTTTCCTCTTGTCCCATTAAGAAACGATAGTTTTCCTAAAATGAAATTTATGCCAAAATGTGGAATGGAGAAAAATGTGTTCAAAGTGTTCCAACCTCTACCTTTTCTTTAGCTTCAATGGACCGAAAATAATTTATAAAAAATTAACTATGCGGTGTACACTAAGGAAACTTTCTGGAAATACTCTCCAGCTGCTGGTGGATGTAAATATGACATTTTTCAAAATCAACTTTTTTTGCAGAAAATCTTTTTTCTTGGTAATGTCCCCCCTCAAACCAACGTCAACTTCGTCTTCGACTGCTGGATGATGTCATGTGCCGCACATCGGAACACTACAAACAATGCTTCAAGCAGACAGTAGAAGTAAAACATATTTCCGGAAAGGTCTATCGAGAGAAGAAAAAGTTGCCCCTTTGCCGTGCTAGCATGGCAAAGGCAGCGGTAACACAGAATGTGATGTGTTAGTGTGGAGGAACTGTGTACACATGTGGAGACAGGATGGCACGTAGCGGCCCTGTGCCTTGAAAGGTTAAGTGTGTGAGCGCACCGTGGATGTCTTACTTGTGGGTGCCATCTTCTACGGTTGCAGTGTAAATGTGGCTTTCTCAGAGCTTGTCGGAGAGTGAGACGCAGTAGCCCTAGCAGGCAAATAACAGAACTGGAACGCAGCAGCACCGAGCACAGCTTTGGCTCCAGCTCACAGCAAAAGAGAGTCAAACAGATGGAACAACCTCAACCAGTTGCAGCACAGGAGTCTGCTTATTTTCTGCTGGTATCTTTTGCGCTCTTTCTTTGGGCGAGCCTGGACTTCACTCCATTAACGGAGCGCAGCATTACTGTATGTCTGAACACGCAATGTTTTACCCCCACCGGGAGCAACGCAGAGGCACTCGAGGAAGAGGTTCAGCTGGTGCTGGTGTCCAATCGGTGAGGAGACAAGCACTGCATAGGCCTTCAACTGGTAGTCGACTTGTCGACTTCCACCGCTGGCACCTCTCCGGATATGGTTAGTTGCGACCCATATAGTACATTTCGTGTTAAAAAAATGCACCCAGAAAAGGTCCTTGTGCCCACCTGAGACGTCGAGGATGCCTGCTGCCCGCCGTGGTAGAAAGGCTGCACCCTCGAGGAAGAAGTGGACGCCATGCGTGCCTGCGCTCCGACGCCGGGCCGGCTGTTGACCGCGTTGGCCGAAGCCGGCGCAAACTCCCCCCTGACGCTGACCCTCGGGAAGGGGAAGTGGGGGGACGCCATGCCCAGGCACTGGTACACACGGTCCCTCAGCACTGCAAGACCGGGCTGCGCAAGAGAACGGAGGAATGAGAAGAGCTAAAGTCGCTTCGTGTTCACAAACCGGACTCTTTGCATAAACAGAGATGCGAATCTCCAGGAGTGCATATAAGCCAAAACTGCTCAAAGTGAAGATAGTTAACTACTTTATTAGCACCTACGCAAATCATACCGCCAATATTAACATTTAGCCAAACGCCTTGACTTGATACTTAGAGCAAGACTGTCATTATATTCTTTCACAATAGAGGACACCTAGGTACTTCTTGTGAGTTGTGAATGCGAAAGCATGAATGACATTCTTCCGCTCCCTTAGTTCGTCTGCAATGACCTAGTGTGGACCGCCATGTTTCGCTGCCGAGGCTGCAGCCGCCACCGATATAGGTGACTCAGACACCGCCATGTTCCTCGGAGCCGGAAGGAGCAGATGGGGCCGCAGCCCCCCCCCCCCCCCTCTCGCCCCTCCCCCCTCCGGCAACGCCTAAAACGAGAGCAGAGGCCAAGCGCGCTCTTTCATGAAGCGGACGCCAATGGCTAACTAGGAGCCGTTTCGCTCAGCCAATGGGAGAATGGGCATTTCTTTCGCGTCCTTTCACGGTTACAGATGCCGCCAGCTCTGCTCCATGGGATAGTTAATGCTTTCGCATTAAAACATATCTTCATTCACTTGCTCAAATTATAGCCTTCCATTCTTAATGATGTATATGTCAAAATAGCGGGAAGGTAGTAATCAGCCCAGGTGGGCACTTAGTGTCTCCTTCGTAGATGAGAAATTTAGCTAGCGCAGTGCAACCGCTAGCCTGGAGTCTGAAGATGCAGTGGCAATCTACACGACTGCACGCCGGTACAACGCTTATTTATGTTGAAACAGGCAGGGGTGGGAATTGCATCCAAGACCCCTGGGCTCTGCGCCGTGAGCTTTTGCTCCACATGTTCTGAGCTGCAACGCAAGAACACGTTCAGCCATTGTTCCTCACATTCAATCCTCCTTGATGGAAACTGAGGTGATCGGTGGCAGAGTTCATCAACATGCTAACTACAACCAAATTTGACTTTACACGCCCGTAAAGAATGGCACTATATTTGTAGGGCTTCGTGTTTTCGGATAAATCCAAAAAACTCCGAAAAACACCCGCCGGTAAAATTTTAATCAATTTGGATTTATCCAATAAAGTCCCAATTTTGATGTGCCAATGCCTCCCCCTTTCCAATAAACTAAATAAAAACTAAATAAAGACAGTATTTTATAATTAAATTCGATCAGGGCAAAGGGTCAATGGTCCCGAAAAAATGCCACCACAGTTATCTTTCAAATCTCTGTTCATTGACAAAAAGGGGTCCTACCGATCATTTCGTCAAGGTTCAGAATGACATGTCATTGTGCATTCGGGTCACGACAAAAACCCCTGTATTGGTTTCCAGTTTGGGCCATACTATTTGTGTTGAGGAAGAGAGGTTGTTTTTTTGTAACAGCTAAAGGTATATATGGATCTTAGAGATTGCATAAAATTGGAAGAGGGGCAGTTGGAACTTCCCTATTATGTAGATCCTTTACCACTCCACCTCGCGCGGCCGCGGAGTAGCATGGAATAGGATGGGGTGAATACGTGCTTCCCAGCGACTACCTCCACGAGTTTATTTTTAAGGTGTCGACGTTTATCTAAGCCACAGATGTGTGCAACTTTTGCCATGGGACAAATTAGTATTGCCAATGGCAATGGCACCAACACCAAACACAGCTGAAGAAATTTTATTTCATATAAGCGCATTTTAGTTTTCCTTATCTAGCATACGTATACACCTGGATATTATTTTTTCTGTTTTTCATAAGAAACGCTGCAAAATTAAGCTCCGAATTTCGAAGATTTTGGAATCAAACAAAAATAAACTCCTATAAACCATGAATTTTCAGAAAAAAAATAAACTTCGAGAAACACCCTCCGAATTGGACGAAAAATAAACTCAGAAAACATGGAATCCTATATATTTGCAAACCTATTACAGTATAGACCACTTACAACGTAACCGCTTATAGTGCAGGACCGGGTATAATGCGGCTTTTTTAAACCACCGGTTCGCCTCCCATAGAACTCCATGTAATTACATACCGCTTAAAATGCAGGCGCGCAAAGGGAAATACCGGTTATAGTGCGGTTTTCGGAACAGCCCGGCGACCGCGCCGACTGACCGAGGCAGAGAGCACGCTTCCCTGTGCGACACTAGATAACTGCGCTAGCCGCAAGCGGCACTCGCGGGGCGAGGAGGTTGCTCGAAGAAGCAGGGAGAAGCGAAGAGAGAGGCTTCAGTTGCCATAGCGACAGAGGGACGCACGCACGTGTCGTTCACGTGCGTGCGCCCCTCCGTTGCGTTGGAAACGTTGGAAACAACCGCAACGACAAACCAATCGCAGGTCGAGGAGAAGTGTTCGCGCGCGTTGCATGCCGGTCGCGAGCCGGCCAGCCGGCTGCTTCTATCCGCAAACATGGCGTCGGTTTTGATCATCGACGTAGACGGCATGGTAGAAGCTCATCGTTCCGCGTAAAAGCGCTATCCTTGACTGTGAATTTTCGTTGTGTGTTGCTATGATAACCCAGCATGTACTAGAAGGGAAGATCCACCTACTCGTGCGGCGATGTTGTGGCGGCACTCTCAAGACAGCAGAAACGCCCGTGTCGTCGTGTTTGTTTACTTCGACTACAGTGGTACTTTCTAAGCATTTGTGTTTTCGAACATCGCCCGGATTTCTTATTTGGAGCATTTCATGCCGGTGTTCAAGTTGAAGGTATTACTGGCACGTACCGTATAAAGGATGCGAATTTTCACGCGTTTTCATCGCCGGAGAAAAGTGATTAGGGTTAGCAATACTGAACGCTTGCAACGTTCGTCCGCAACCCGCGACGCCGTTAAGAGGCTGCGCCAGGCAAAAGTCGCTCATTTCTTTCAAAATGTGTGACACACTTGAGAGAGAAATGTACCAGTCTGGTGAAATAAAGACTTTCCTCAAACTAAGCTTTATTTTTCATCTATCATAAAATAAATTCCTTTACAAAGGTAAGTTGTCTGATGGCATGCATTTTGGCCTGAAAAATTTATGTTTTGGTTATAGCGCGGTACCGCTTATAGTGCGGATTTTCGCGACTCCCGCGACATACGTTATATGCGGTCTACACTATATAGAGAATTTTCAAGAATAATACTTTGAGTACCTAAATCTTTCTAATTAAAATCTTGCAGATGTTGCTAGTACTAGGTAAACTAGCCCATGGACCCCACGTAGCATTAAGGAGTGAGGGCGGTTTGTTTGAGTTACCCATTTTCTTGTTTCTTTTTTTGCTAAAATAGACTACTAAAACCACGTTTCACTCTAATCACCATCACTTGAGAATATGCTTCGATCCAGAAGGTGTGGTAGACTGCTCTGCAGTTCACCCACTTCGCATATTTTCGCACGCAGCACTCACTTCTTGCTGCAGTCTGCAAAGCTTGCTTCCCAGCACTAAAGCTACACTGGTTTTCTGAGATCTTCTGAAGTATAAACTGCCAGAAATCGTCGAAAAATATCAAAGTTTCTGGAAAAGAAAGAGTTAAGTATCGTGTAGGATGACTCCAGAAGTCATTCCAGCAACTGTTTCTTTTCCTGCAGCAGCACGTGGAACCACCGACTGCATCTATAGTCCCAAAACTTATCCGGCGGCAGTTACAAGTAGGGACTGTGGCAGTGCTGTCATAATACCTCTGTGGGGTCCAGCAGGTAGTTGATGGAACTGGTCAGACTCCCCTGGGCAGCTAGGATGGCGGCGTATTGTCCCAGGAGATTCGACAGAGTACCCGTCTGGATGGACTGGGGCTGGCCACCCAACTGGGCCACCGCAGCACGCAGGATCATCACTTGCTCAACCAGCTCCTGTGAACAAAAGGAGGGGGGAAAAAAGGAAGATAGTGACACGATGACGAGGCAATAGGCAACACGAATGGATGGACGGATGTTATTTGCTATAGTCCTTGTATAGGGTGGTCGCTTAAACCACCCAGCCGAAAACCCCTCCCCTTTAAATTTTGCCTTAAATTCCACCTCTCAGTTAATTGTCTTACCCACCAATTTTATGTATTTATCACACCTTTCTAGACCTTTCCCACCAATCTTCTAATCTCCTCTGTGTTAAAACATGAAACTCCCGCCAAATAGAAAACATGAGCGAGCATTGCTTGAATGGCATACTGTTGTTGCAGATCTATAGGAGAACCTACCTACAGTCGCCGACCGATTTTAGGGACTTTGCAGGGACCGAAAAAAAAAGCCGAATAATAGAGCTGTCCGAAAGATTAAAAAACTTGCCTTTATTACGTCTAAGCAGGTTTAAAAAAGCCGTGCTTCAAGTTACGCCTCCGCTGGCGTTCGGTCACTTTCTATTAGCTTGAGAATCGCTGCCTTCTTTTCTAGCGTTATGATCGAGTACTTTCCGCGCTTCTTAGCGACACTTCGCGGCGCCGAAAGAACAAATGGGGTTGTGACGTCCAAGCTAGCATACTCCAAAAACACAATTCACCGAGACGAGGTGAGAGGTGCACGTCCACAACTGCAGAATGGTGAATCAACAATGCAAAATGGTAACAAGGATGATGATTATGACGCACAGCGAGAGAATTTATAACCCGTAGCATAGCATCACCTAGCGGTAGGACTTAGCAGTACTCAAGTAGAAAGGGGCCGAACCAAACCAGTCCATGTGCAGCCAACACAGAATCTAAAACGGCGGCTTCCTGGTGCTGTTTCCCGCTGACCGCTCGCAACGATTTTGTCCGAAAAATCTAACCTAACTTTCGGACTTAAAGCTGTCCAAAACATTGGTCGTAAATATGCACTATTTCTATCGGGTAGGTCACGGTTCCTTCTTTAAGGTCCAAAATATAGAACAAGTCCGAATTATCAGCATCCGAAAAATTGATCGGCGACATAAACAGAATTATTACAACACAAACTTTCAGAATGTGCTCATTGCAACAGGCGACAAAAAAATTTACAAAAAGCAAGGCGACTTTGCTGGATCATTTCAGACTGGAACGCATAACTTAACGCCGTTTACCACAACCCTCTAACTTCTGGGAGTTGCTGAGAAGACCCAGCCATGCTTCCACGTACAGGCTGCATTGTCATATGTGGGCGATAAAACAACTCGTACAGGCATATCATGTACTAAGAGTATTGAAATAGAACTAAACAATAAATGAAGTTATCAGTTTTTGTATATTGCCACATATCAGTCTATCTTTTCAAAAATGCATATGTCAAATTAAAGTATCTAAAAATCGGGTACCTAAAAATAAAGTAAAAAATTATCAACTAAAAAAACTTTATTTTTTTTTTTATTTGGGAGGTTAGACTTATATTCAGAGTTGACCTATGTGCAGCAATATACAGAAATGCAATGCTCACTCTGTAGATATTTCAAAGGAGAAAGTATATTGAAGAGAGGAGTAAGTGGCTCCAACTTGGATGATAAGATAAATGTAAAACAGATAAGAAAGGCTCACGGTATTACACACTGTACTTCAAATGGGAGCTTACTTATTTAAAATGCTTCAAGACAGTGGAATTTGAGACTAAATAGAGTCTCTCCCAGGCAGAGTGGGCTCAGTGAGAAGATTAAGTGATCATCCTACAGCTGGTGAGGAGTGAAGCACTTGACTCACCACTGTTTCACACACAATTTATCATCATAGCCACACAACTCAACCAAAAGAAGGCAACGAATTCACCGACAAAGAGTGTGATTCTGAAGAATGTTCAGAGAAAGTCTCACCTGTAAGGATTGTGGGCTGTCTGCCTTCTTCTGGAGTTGAACCCAGCAGCTCGCCAGCTTTTCAAGGTTCCCAGCACAGATGTAACACAGCATGGCGTACGGAACTAAGGTGGAATTCCTCTCCGTTTCGAGTCTCTTCCCAAGGGTTTCTGAAGCGACGTCCAGGAACAAGTCACACTCTGGGGAGTCGGGCTCCAAACAAGGTTGACAATAGGTCTCCAAGGAAAGTTTTAAGTTTGGCATTGTGAAATTTAATTTAACAAACACTGCGGTAAAGTGTTATGGCTCAAAGGCAGAGCACCGATACAATCTAGACAATGCTTATAAGTTCGAAATTGATTAAGCAGTCAATGAACCGACTGTAATGAAGGCACAATTCCCAATAGCAGATGAGAAAGGAAATGTGGGTAGGACATATCTGTTGCATACAATACTGTGTAAATACTAGTTTCAGCGGTTTCTGTTAGTTTTCACAATTGGTATTGTCAAAAACTAAATGTTTCTGTGAAGCTTTGGTGAAAAAATGGCCAGCATACTGAAACTTGACACCCTAGGAAGTGGGAAAACACATTTTTAAAAGAGCATTCCAACAGTCTTGAGTGTCCCTTTGAGCATTGACAAACAGAACACATTAATAGGTAGGGCCTACAAAAGTTTAAAAAAATAAAAAATAGAGCATACCGCACAAGACTGGGAAGTCCTCCGGCTTTGCATACGTCAGAACAGCGGCAAGGGCTTCCTTCCAGCAGTTGATCTCGCAGTTCTTTACCACGTTGCTCCAGTTCGAGTTCACAACAGCCGATATTAGCTGGAAGTACACAAGGACAGAACAATCGAGACTTATAAGGACTTAATTAGGTTTGATGTGAGGGTCAGTCTTTCTCTGTACTGTCTACATCAATGCCATCAACCAGGATCAAGCTCTACTGGGCCAAACTGGATCAGGCAAGATAAAGGAAGCTCCCCTTTACACACCACCATGGTCAGGGCATGTTCACAGATACAGTGCAGCACTTATCCAGTGCTAGTTCAGCACTGAAAACAGTGCTCACCTTAATATTAATGCAGCACTTGTTAATACAGTGCTGAGTGTAGAGGTGAGTGCTATAAGTGGCACCGTCTCATTTTTAGTACCCGAGGAATTGCAAGGATGTATCGCAACATATGTGATTCCGGTGAGTTTGTCCCTTTTAAGATCCACATGTCCAATGGCTGGCGCAACAGGCACCATCGAAGTACCAAGCTTGTCCCTGATACTGTAAATCTCATCTATCAGAACAAAGGTATCTCACTGCAACAGCAGATGGAATCAGACTCCGTGCAAAATGTGCCTGTATCGACAGCGTGGGATCTCATGAAACTGATCTCACTACGGCGAGCTACCTCGCGGTACTACAAGCTGTGAGGAAGACATCTGAGCAGTGAGGGTAGAAAATGCGGCACTAAATTGGGTGCAAAAAGACCCTTTTCAAAAGTCAGTCTAGCCACTCCTCCTTGAGTCAACCCTGATGCTTTAATGGCGGCATGACATAGCACCTTTCACCGGGAAAAGCAAACGTCTTCGAAATCATCAAGTAGAAACCGAGGAAACAATACTAACAAGTTGGTCCTCGTACGTGGATCGGGCGATCATGCTCTCCTATCACTGGTCTTAGTGCAAAAATAATGGAGTCATTGAGATTGCCCCTAGATGGCTCTGACTTTTTAAAATGGTCTATTACAGCACTGATTCAGTACTTTGTGCTCCATGCGTGGACCGGCCTTCAATCTAAAGGCTGGTTCACATATTTCTGTTTGTCTGTGCTCAAGTGTCTTGCAAACCCTTCTAACTGCTTACAACAAAAAATAACACTGGCACACTGGTGCCACCCATTGGGCAACCCTGGAATCGCATATAACTAGACTGAAGGTTTTGCGATATTTGCTACCCCAAATATTAGGGCTGGGCGACTGATCGATTAACCAACCGATTAGTACAGTCTAAGCTCATTATAACAGACCTTGATTTTGACCAAGATTCGGTCTGTTGTAAAAGGAGTATGTTGCATGCAGATATAAAGTTGAGTCAACGGTACATAGAGGAAAACCAACCGAACTGCATAAATCGGTATGTTATATCCAAATGCCTGTTGTAACCAGGTCTGTTGTAATGAGCTTAGACTGTAATTGATTAAAGCTTTAATTGAGATTAATTTTTTAACCGGTTAACTGGTAAAATTTTAATGATCCAAAATAGTAAACGGTTTCACCACGCAGACGTAGACGAGAACACCTGAATGAAGGGCAAACTTTAGGTCAAAATTTAGCATAAAGTAAACTGTAGGGGCGAGATTTGCAACTCCTGAGAAGTGCAGAAGGTTACACGTGTCCCGGCTACTTCAACGCCGCTCGAGTGTCCGCTTAGCGCAGCAAAGACTAGTGTGAACAATCCATGGAGGTCGTCCTTGCCGGAAAATATCAACGAACCTCCTTGCCTCATGCAGCTGAAGTGTACTAATAATTTTTGTGTGTGGGCGCCTTTGAGCTCTTCTTAACTACACATAAAAGTTGATTCATAATAAAAACTGTATATTCCGCCCTTTAAATTACCTTACATTCAGCAAATGCGTGAACAGAAAAAATATTACTTTTGACTTTTAAAAAATATTTGCACAGAAATTACTGTGACCGATTAATCGATTAATTAATCGATTAAAGGGCGGCGATTAATCGGGCTAAAACTTTGAATCGACGCCCAGCCCTATCAAATATGTGCACAATCTACAAAAAAATAGTTGCTTATAACATTTTCAGTATTACACTACAAACTCATCATAACAGACCTCGATAGTGACGAAGATTTTGATCTATTGCAAAAGGAGTATGCAGAATGAAGATACTCCTATAGTCGGTTACAAGTCAAGAAGGTAGGAGAAGCTCCTCCCACAAGCGTGATGCGCCCATTTCAAATCCCTCCGCAGTCAAAAGAAGAGTTCACTGGAAACGCTCCTTGTTCCGCTTCAATGGATTCCAACTTGTCTCCGACCCCACTTTTTAAGAAAGCGATCTTTGTATTCATCGGAGAGAGAACCGAGCCCCTGAAAGCAGCCTTTGTATTCGTCGGGGGGAAGCTAATCCCCCTCTCGTGGCTTCCACAATGCTAAGTCAAAGTCGAAAGATAAAGCAAATATGTACAGAAAGGCAAGACCCTCCTCGCGCGTTGGCCGCGACGTCACGGAAACGGTGGGACGCTATTGGATGCGGAGGTGGCGGAGGGATATCTGATTCCCTTTGAGGGGCATTTGCCGCTACCTTCTTAACCTGTAACTGACTATAGTACAGACTATGGGGGGATTATGACTGGGGTCTGCTCTAACCAGTGAGACTGACGAAACGCTCACCTTAGCCGAGTCCGAAGCCGCCTGTCTAAAGTAGCGACACTGGGTCCTCTGCAGCAGGGGCAGTCCCCCTGCCTGGGCCAGGATGAGGGCCTCTGCCCAGCGGCCATCCTGGAGACACAGGTTCACTGCAGCCTCCACGTTCCCGGTCAGCAGGGCCCTGTTCAGCAGGCCATCCGCATCCCCTGGAAGAGCAGCATGCGGGGGTTAGCACTATCAACATCTCCGTCCCTCGTGAGGCAGAGACTTTCGTAAAACCGAAGCTTGGCCCAGTACAACGGAACATGCTTTCAACACAGAAGACGACCGCATAAAAAAGGAACACACACAGCACTGACTCGTAACCAAACTATATATTGAAAAATCTCCATAGCGGCGTCTCGTTTGCTACTATTGCCACGTGCGTGGCAAAGTTGGCAACGTATGCGGCTGCCATGCAGAGGGGCGGAGTCCGAACTCCGCTTGGCCCGTATCTTTCTTTTATGACTCCGCACTCTCGTGGAAAGTTCCAGCCGATTCTCAGGTGTCGTCCAGTCTTCTGGTTCGGAACATTCTCAAATGTACCGAGCGTATAAAAATGGCAGTAACACGCCACTTCGGATCAGTCGCCCTTCGTCACTGACACAAGATGCATCGCACGTCGGTCTTTTCGTTTGTAGGCGCAAGTTCGCAGTAATAAATGTTTATTTTCAATTTTACGTCTGTCCACTATTTGCCGCCACCACCAGTATACATACTTCAGCTGCAAGCCAGTGCCGTGTGTGTCCTCCTTTCTTTCATGGTAGTCTTTTGTGTGCTCTTTTCTCTCGGTCTGAAAGCGAGACTTGGGACTGGAGCTATGAGAAACTCCAGTGGGGAACCGAATTTCGCAAGGCTGAGGGGGCTGGATGACGAGATACTCAGCACATTACACCTTTTGTGAGACACGTCTCTCACTGACCCTACGTGGCTAGAATTTTCTAAGTAGTGATGCGAGACATGTCTATTCATTTATTCATTTACCTCGGAGGATGCCAAATTGGTCTTTATGTAGAGGTGTACAGTGCAACATACCGTTTTTAAGTATATTCACAATGTATGCACAAGCCGCGCGCTACCGCAAGCGCTTGTGCATACTTTCATTTTGCTCACACCATTGAGGATGCACCACTCCGCTCCAAGACTAGGTTTCTTTTAAAAACACCTCATCTGGGAAATGCACACACTTGTTTTCTTATCTTGCATGCACATCAGCATATTTTAAAGGACCTGTGCAAAGAAGAGTACATTGTTTCATAGAGTATATTTATTTGAGTCGCAAGTGTTTTATGCTGTCTTGACATTGTTAGACCAACGTGCCAATCTTCGTCAGGAACCAAAATTACTAATCTTGCTCGACCACAACCCCAAATTGTTAACGCCTTGGAGCGATAACGTGCGGCCAAGGGAACCATCTGCGACTCTACAGGCAATGTCAAAATTTAAGTGAAATCGGTAGAGTTCCACAGAAAGAAACACGCCCCCTCTTTGTGCCGGACAGATATGAAAACTAGCTCGGTCGGCATAGAAGCACTCTTTTAAACTCCTTTTAAACTCACTCCCCTCCCTCCCCCCCCCTTCCCCCTTCCCGTCCACCTCCCCCAGTGGCCCGACAGGGCAACCATAGGGCCAGTGGTCTACATAGTAATAAAACAAAAGTTTTTGCCACAACCCCCCCCCCCATCCTCGCTGCGCAGCACACTGCAACTGTCATGTGTCGAGTGCGTGGACGATTCTGTCATGTTGCTCTATGTTGCCGTGCCCGCTCCTATGCCATCTAGTGACTATACATACAATTGAGAGCAGCACAGCCGTTTCAAGAGCCTCCTCCAATGACAAGCGGCAGTGCAAGCCGTTGCCCGATTTAGGAAAGGCCAAACTTATACAATAGGCGAATGCCTTCACTCTGTGATGGGGGGTCGACGTTAGTGGTTTAGAGATTGTTGCAATTCATATTTTCATAAGTCAGTTAAGTTTGTTCTGTGGAGGTTTAGAGAGCGGAAAATTAGTCTGCAGAAAGGTGCGCCTGGTGTCTCGGCTGTAGATGACAAATTTTGCCAGTGGCGGTACTGGCGGTACGACCACTACCCTAATGTCTTTACATTGCGTCACACAGTGGTGAGTACACAAATGTGTGCCAATACAATTTTCATTTAGGAAAGAAAAAAAAAAGCGGTAATCGAGGCTAAGATGCCTGGATTCTGCAGCGCGAGCTTTTGCCCCACATGCCCCGAGCTACATTGCGCTAGCAGACTCAACCACCGTTCCCCCTTTTGATAAGTCAATTGTCGACGTACAAAACCGTTTCTGATGTCGCTCATACTAAGGGTTGTTCGTTTTCGGGTAAAACCCGATTTCACCCGATTTTTACACCTTGAACATGTTTCAGGAAAATCGGGTTAAACCCTATTTCTCCCCGAATTCCAAAACCACATAACCAACCTATTTATTTTGGCGCCTCACAGAGTTTGCGGTCCACACACGCTACCTACCCTACTTCGGGACAACAGTGACCTGTAGTTCATTTCGCATGCTGCTCTCAAACAACCGCCCAACGAGCGCGCATAACTCACCATGGCATTCTATGGAGGCCGGCTGAGGAAAGCGACAATAGGCGTTGGGGCCTCGGAGAAACATTTCCGTCCCCCCGCTGTACGGGTGGAACCGCCTCGGCACGCCACGTAGCTTCGGCCCTGCTGCACCAACTTGTGAAATGCACTATAAATCCTTCTTCGGTCGCTGGTCTGTGGACGCCCCACAGGGTCTCTAGGGTAGCATGACCATCGCGCTGACGTCCAACCTTACTCACGAACAACGTCCGAGCCAGTCAGTTGCGTAAACAGATCGGGAAATTTTAACAAGTTTATTTCATAGCGAAATATCTGATCGAAGACGACCGTCCCTCGAACGGTCGGGATTTTTGTTGACACCTGAGAGAGAGGAGGATTCCGTGGGTCATACCTCCCTTGAAGCGACCGACGGCAATCGAAACTGGAAAACCCTGATGCCCCCCTGATTACCAGCTTGAAACACATCCCTAATTTTAACGCGTTAGAATTAAACAGCTCGTAATACCCTCCAATAACAAGGAGAAAAAAAAGCAAATGTATTATTGAGTACATTTGTATATTTAACCCGAAAAAACCCGAATTTTGGAATGTTTCGTCAAAAAACCCGATTTCTCCCCGATTATCAGCCTGAAAAATAGCACACGATTTTTAACCCCCGAATTTAGAAAAATATAAAACCCGAAAACGAACAACCCTACTCATGCTATATTTGGTGCTATACTGTTTCCTCAAATACCTTGAATGCCGCGCAGATACGTCCATATGCAATAGCACAAATCCGGATTCGCGAGATCGATTTTTCCGCTCCAGCACTACAGAGAAGTTACCTGTACTACAAAAAATTTCGACGGTTCCACGAACTTCGTCATAAAGACCTTTGACTGCATATGCTACTTTCCCGTTAACAAGACTTACTTCATTGCAGCTCAATTATTATGTGGCAGGCTAACTACTGATGGTGACAGATGAAGAATGCAGTGGCAGCTCTAGTTCAACAGTAATCTTTCTATGTTCAATATCAATTTGCCACCTCATGAGCAAATGCAGCCAAAGGCTACAAGCATCTGCTGCAGACAGAGCACACACTGCTGTCGTTGACTAGACCACATGCTCAAAGAACCACTTTCCTCACCTTCATCAGTGGTGATGGTGAAGGGAACAAAGTCCTGCTCTTTGCTCTTCGCCGCAATGCTGTCAAATGCCGATGCACTATCGTCCAGTATCTCCCCGTTCTGAAAATACCCAGCGGTGCCATCAATGCGCTGCTCAAGAGAAGCCAATGACAAAACTGAACAAGCGCTATGCAAGGACTCAAACGTTAGTACACTTCCAAAGCACACAAAAAAAGCATTTAACAGGCAAGCATTGCAGTATAGTATAGGTACTATATACTATAGGCATTGCTTGAATGAATTTGAGTGCACGATATCATCACAAAACATTCAGGATACCACCCGTTGGGACTTACAGAGTCATCTAGAGAGGGAGAGCTAGATCTCGAAGAGTCCCGATCAGTCTAAAACAGAGCAGACGTGTGAGAAAGAAAGGCAGAAAGGAACAAGGAATGCATGCACACAAACCCAAGAACAACATAAAAATTTTGAATAATGTACGAGAGAAAAGTAAGAGGTGCAGTACAATGAGCAATGCAACGAGCAAACAAAAGACGAGAGTAAGGGCTAGTAAAGTTAGAGGGAATTTTCAGAAGCAAAGTCGGCCTGGAAGAACAACAGGTGTGAGGCCATGCAGAGGGAAAGTGCCAAACTAAGAACCTACCGTGGTAGCGCTGAGGGAAAGGTTCCCCAAGTCATTCGAAAGATCCGCCCGACTTTCGGCGTCGTCCATACTCCCTCCTAGAACGGACAGCTGAAAGAGGAGGGCACAAGTATGATCATACTTTTTATACACAAGATAGGTAAAAGAATACAAAGCCAGCTAGGCTGCTCAAGAAGGAAATGACCTTACTTGTCCAGACACGTCCTCAGGGTCGTAGCCCAGTAAAGACAGCATCCGGGCTCTCGGGGACCGGTCAAAGTTGGCCTGAAGCCAAAAGGGAGGCCTTTAGACAAGAAGGCATGGCACCTACATCTCAGCTGTATTAACTCCACTGAATGATAGAACGAGATGCAATCATAAGTTGAAAGTCATAGACCGTTCCCACAACAACCACTCGGCGAACGTTGAACACTCCAGATCGGCGGCATTCTTTCAATGCATATGACGCGTTCAAGTGACATCTTCTACTTCAAGTAAAAGATGCACATGTCACATTCAAACCATGGCAGCAAAAAAGATAGCAATAAGAAATCAGTGCTTTAGTCTTTAGATAGAGTTAGAAGCAAGGCAATGCCTTGGCAAAAATCTGTAACAGATAACCCTTCTTAACCCACTTTGCAGTCGCCCTGTGGTAGAGCATAACAATACACATCGAAGGTACAAGATCACCAAGAAATCAGGGCAGAGGAGATACAGTACGGTAATGGTTGAGCAGATCACATGGTTCCCCATAATTTTCTCAAAGGGTCAATCAAAACTCCACATCACGTGAACTTTACTTATCCAAATTAGTTACAGGTACATCACTTTGAAATAATGCTGATTTATACAATGGAAAAACTGAAACACAAAAATAAAAAAAGTTAGTTGACAATAGAGATAATTCTGGCATCATGGAAGGCAAACACCAATTCCCACTGCAAAATCTGGGAGCAAGCAAACAAACGAAAATTAGAGACCGAGAAACAGCGTCGGCGTCGAGTTTTCAGCATTTGAAGCTTACCAGCTCGCCTAGTCTTCCCATTGTTATTTCTAAAGGCCCGTTCACACTCTTGCGACCGAGTACGACCGAGTACGACTGAGAGAGACGAGGATCTCTTAAAACTTCTTAAATGTTTTTAGAATGAGGGAACACACTGGTATTGTGGCGCCATCTATGCGGTGACCCTGGAACTGCATTTCACAAGAGCGAAGGTTTTGCGGGATTTCTGAGGTCAAATGTGCGTAATAACCATAGAAAGGCTCGTTTATAACATTGACAAAAGTTTTTCGAACCAAGAAAGAAAGGATAATGCGCGAGAAATAAAAAAAATATGCCGGACCGCCGAGTTTACACTGCTTCCCAATAGATGGCGCCAGTGTGTTCTCTGGTTTAAGAAGTTTTAAGGAACCTAGGTTTAAGAGGTCGCAAGAGTGTGAACGGGCCTTAACCGTCAACTCCAAAGCCCCCCGTCACCGAAGGTTACGAAATACCGAGTGAAGAAAACCGACCCACCTGAAGGAAGCTCCAGGCCAGCTGACGATTGGTGTCCGAGCACGCCTGCACCTTGAGCTGGCAGAAGTCTGAGAAGTTGCCGGTGCTCAGGGCAGACTCAAGCTGGGCCGACTGGGCCATGAGCTTCTGCTCCGTCACCACCTGGCTGATGTGCACCAGCTGGGCAGCCGGGGCACCGGCATTGGGCTGCTGCTGCTTCGTGAATGAGATCAGCTTGCCGCCAAACTGGGATGAAGAGACAAGAACAATGGCAGGAATATTGACAAAAATCAACCGATCAACATGCGTGTCAACTACATATGTAAATTCCACCCAGATGCGACATAACTGTTGTGAAAAAGAACCAAGCTAAAAACACCAAAGAGCCGCCTCTAAGGGTACTGAGCTCATTTCGGATGCTTATAGGATTAGCTTACAGGCCGAAACATAGCACGACGGAAAGCAAATAGAGCTCGAAGATGAAAGGTGCATGCAAGGCACGAGTGTTGTGCCTCACATGTACTCTTACCTAGTCTTTGTTTTCGAGCCCCATTTGATATTCAATGTGTTTAATGTGTAACAACCATCCCAACGCTCGACCTTGAACCATGGCAAATATACGCATCTTGGGCATGTTTGTGAGAATCCCACATCAGTGTTACTCCGTCTCTCCATACCAAAGGCTGCACCTAAAAACAATAAGCACGAGTTCCCTCTTTTTGTGCATGTATTGGATGTATGAACTTTTGTGAGGAGAGCAAGCCAGTCGAAACTACCCACCTCTGCTTTTAGCCCTTGTGGCATTCCATGCACAGGCAAGACAGGGTATAAACCTAATGTCCTTAGCCTTTCAGTGAATTTGGTGCACCAGCGAATAAAATTCTTGCACTCAACATCACTTCTGGATACGCTACAAAGCGGAGTGTTCCCAAACTATGACATCCGACATCAATCGGTCGTCTGCAGCCCTGCCGGCGACACCCGCGTGGCACCTTGCTCTATTTTCTCCATTCGCAATCACGTAAGCAATTCCTCATTAGCATCGTCTTTGGTGTTGGTCAAAGGTGAAAGCAAGCAGTTGGCTCCACCGATCATGTAACCAAGAAGTATGATTGGGTACACATTCAAGACGTTAAGCCCAAGCTTATCTCATCTTGCCTCTCTTTGAAGCCACCTGAGCGGGCTCGAATGCATCTGCCGGAGCCGTTTCAGCCGCTGACCAGCCTATTCCTCCAAGGCTGGCTCGTTTCAAGTCCGAATGAAGACCAGTATTATAAAGATCGAGTAACTGCCAATAGCTCTCTAAGTAACCGGCAACTCTGGCCAGCGTGGTCGCTCACAACACAAAAGAACTTGAGCGATTCAGAAAAGACTACTTATGTGCACAGGGAGGCCTAGGAGGCATGAGACAAAAGCAGACGAACGTCACCGACGCGGATTCCAGCCGGAATTCCGACCCGTAAGTGGCAATGCATCGTTGTCTCGTGCAAGGACCCCATTAAAAAAACGGCACCCAGCGTTTCACAACCACGTCGACCGACCCCCAAACAGCAGCACTCACCCCGAAAGAAGCTCCGACCGGCTTGCGAAGCCACTTCGGCGGTTTCAGGAGCGAGATGGAGACGCTCCGCTGGGCGGCAGCCTGCTGCTGCTGGAAGCTGGGCAGCTGGGCAAAGTCATCCGCCCCCGGGAAAGACTCTGCCAGCTTGGCGCTCGGCTGTGTCTGCTGCTGTCCCCCCAGCAGCGAGTAGATGCCCACGTGGCCGTCGAACGAGGCGCTCGAGATGACGGCCGGGTTGCGCGGGCACCAGGCCACGTCAAAGTGCCACTGGTCACCCGTCGGGATCTCGCACACCAACTGGAAGCGGTTCAGAAGATCCGCGGCAATGGTCATGCAGGGTGCAAGTTCTGCATTTTGCGTAGGGGTTGCACTGACGTCAGAATGCCAAGCTCAGATAGGCTCTGACGGAGGGATAGTGGGTAGACCTCAATGCTACCTACCTTGATGTCTACCCACTATCCTTCCATACGGAGCCAACCGGAGCTCAGTGTTCCGACGTCACTGCAACCCTCCTCGGGAAGCAGACGAACTTGCGCTCCACATTGATCGAGCGAGCATGTAAGTGTATCCTGCCTCCGGCAGAATTTATAGCTGCCTTTCGTAAAGTCCTAACTGCGCATACACACTCAAGGAGGCTTGCACTCCACCGAAGTAGGGCGCCTCAACGTCCTTCTGTTTAGGATGACGACATTCTTTGTAATATCCGGTGTCGATCACGGGAAAAGTGCAAAGAAATCACCGGAAACAAAATGTTAACGTAGCACAGTGAACGCCAAGAGCATGTGCCGCGGGAGACGGTCTTTCACATGCTTCAGAACGAAAAAGAAAAATGAGTGTTCGGAACAAATTGGTTATATGACATCACCCTAAGCAAAGTGCACATGAAGGCACCCTATGCCAGAGCATCTCCGAAGGTGGAAAGCCCACGCTAGAGCAAAGCGCCTGACTGCACCAGTTAGTTCATCTTAAAATTTGGAGAAATTAAAAAATAAAAAACACATAGTGACAGATTATATTAGTAGCAATAGCGTGTAATAAATGAGGGCTTCTTTATTATGCGCTGTTGTTACTAATACAAACTCTCACCAACTCACCCAAGCTTCCATCCCAACAAATGGTGACAGAGACAAGCTATAGTATGACACAAGGCAACACAAAGGATAGAGACAAGCTACATGACACAAAGTGACACAATCAAGCTAAGACATACAGATTATGTTGTGTGGCTTGTCTCTAATACAATACAAATGGTGTTATAGCACTGGGTTTCTTGCGAAAAGTGGCATGATATGCTCGAGTGTTATGCTCGTACTTCGGCAAATTAACAGAAGTGTTTAGTTTAAGATTGTGGTTAGCCATTCAATGTGGTTTGAAGCGAAACTGATCTTGGATAAGCCTGTCCTTTTTGTGACACTGAGTTTTGGCAAAGCTTTTCTCAACATTCCCCACATCTAGGCATGGTCAAGGAAATAGCCCGATCTCACCAGCCAGTTTCGTAGCGCCACCGCTGCCGGCGTGCGCCACCGCTGCCGGCGTGCGCCACCGCTGCCGGCGTGCATCGTGGGAATGTAGTCTTTCTGCCTGCGCGACAACCCCGCTCAGGGTCTGCGCGAGTAAAGCATGAGACGACACGAGCTGTCTCGTGCACTGGCACATGCCTCCTTTGAAACTACAGTTATGGCGGTGTCACGCATGCGTGGAACGTTTGGTGAGTTTCGTCTGTTTGGATGCAGTGGCAGAATATGTCAATTATTCCCTTATGTTTTCTCTTGAAAAAAATGCATATGTTGCCTCCCAGTCACATAGAACAGCCACACAAAAGATTCAGTATTCTGACAACGATTCACTCTCAGCTGGCACATCCTTTCCGGTTGTCTCAGCTACTATATGAAACACTGAAATGAAAACAATACATTTTGTTTTAAAGGACTTATTTGAAACACATATTTTTTTTTTTCTTTCTCCACGAAAAAACATTTTTTGCACAATTTTTTTGTTGTTAGACAAAATATAGCTGGAGGTAGCCCACCCTAGGCCCCACCCAGCAATGTAGCTAACTACGCTCCACTTCTGGGCTCTCATTGGGTGGAGAGATGATTGACGTGTGGAACGTTCATCGTATAATTATTTCTCCGTGCCGTGGGGGGGGGGGGGGGGTAGTATAGTCTTTTATTCTACTTTATTTTTAATGTTTGAGAAACAAACTATATAGATAGAGTCATTGTTGAATCCGAAAATATCACAAGATTGTCTTTTCTGTTTTGGTTTTAAACGATAACAAACACGGCTGCCGGCGTATGCGGCGAGCGGTTTCACGCACCGTGTAGCCTGCTGAGCCCGTCCATTTTTATGAATGCGAGCGTGTTCACCGAGGTGTTTAGAGAAAGATACCTCAACCGATCCAGTTTGCAGCAAACAACTTAAGCAAGTACACACCTTCGGAGGCACTGCGTGGGTACTTGTTTTCGTAGCAGCACTGGCATAAACCTAGCGTACCACGTCAACCATTTTGCTCGATCTGGTTTGATTTGTCTGTTTGCAAGTTTTGATGCTGAATAAATGTGTGGGCTCCTATAAAAGTGGTACCGCTACTCTGCGAATTCTGCGGCTGTCGTGATCGCGATCATCGCTTCAGTACTAAGAGGTGACCCACACAGGTAAGAATTTGCGAGCCATTTGAGTGAAAGAAATTGGGCGTTGGCCTCGCGTCAGGTTTGTTCAGGTATGTTTCTGTCATTTCACTTCCGAAGGCACTTAGCTGTCAAATTTTGAGCAGCGCACCTGGCCTGCTAAACTAAAAAATTTTAGGTCGCATTTGAATGGTTCGTTATGACGCTCACCCACCTTGCTTGCAAACGCTATGCAAGAAAACAACAAGAGCAGTTTGCAGCAAACTAAGGTCCTTTAGCTTCCCTTTAACTACCCTAGTTCTAATAGCAGACAATGCCATACACTGCCGTGCGTCTGTCCAAACAACAAGCAGACTGTGTAGACGGCAGACTTGAACACACCGGACGTCACAACAGGGAGACATTAGGCTTGCAAACATGTTTAGCGAAGCAGCCTAGCCAATGCAGTAGTAATGGGCAGGGCCAACATTCTGTGGGCGGGGCCTAGAGCGGGAGGTGAGCTCCACCTAAATTGTGCCTAGCATCGTAAATATTACGCAAATAAAAAAATTATTTTCAGGAAAAATTAAGGGGAAAAAATTTGTCCTTGTTAAGCCCTTTCAAAAAAAAAATGCTTTCATTATTCTTTAAAGACAACTAGATGCATAAAGCATAAAACAATATTCACAGTAAAAAATGAGCTGAAAACCTATTTTTATTCCAGGCTGAGGCCTACCTAAAACACTGCCATCTGCAAAACAGGTAGTAATGAGTCAGACAGCATCATAAGAATTCATAGGTATCTTACCTCGCCACCTGCCACGTTTGAATTGGGATTCCAACATAGTATCCTCTTGTCCTTGCCGCAGGACAACAGAAGGTCAGGATCCTGAGGACACCAGGCGATTGCAAGGACTCCCCTAAAAGAAACAAAGAACAAGGACCATTAAAGCTTGCATAAACTTTAACAAACCCTTCTTTTATAGCTGATGACTGAAGGAGCCAGAACCAGGAAAAAAACAAAGCAAATCTAATTTTGAAGTGGAAATGAATAAAACCTAACCGAGCCCGTTTTTTTTTTTTTTGTGTTTTTTTTGTAGCGTGAGCTACACTGGCCGAGGTTGAGCAGTTTCGCGTGGCTCCTGGAGAGCCGCACTGCGCATGCGCGAGGAGCAGTGACGTCACACGGCGCACAGCTGGCGCGCCGGAGCCATTGCCGCCGCACGCGCCTCGCCGGTCTGCGCATTCCAGAGGAGTGACGTCATTGCCGCAGCAGACGCACTGGCGCTGCCGCGTGCCCAGCTGTGCGCCTCCGTTGTGCGGTAGCCAAGTCTGACGCTGCACCAGAGCCGCTTGATAGCGCCTCTCATTTTTTCTTTCTCGTGAAGTTTTTTGGTGGAAATGCCGATAAAAAAAGCAAAGGTACCAAAACAAAGAATTCACTTTTGGTGATGTTCCAACGTCTTGAGGGGCGACGTTGCGAATCTCAGGTCCCAGAGCTGAACCACTGGAGCATGATCGTCTTCAGAGGCCAAGCATAACTGTGTCGCCACTTCGGGATGCCAAGCGACCGCCTTGCAGTGTATCTGGATCAGAAACAATCCAGAACTAAGCAATGCATACCCCATCACACAATGAAGGCTGTATTCATGCCCACCTGTAGAAAAAAACACTGTTGTTAGCCAGTACTTTAATAATGAACAATGAGATCACGAAGGGTGGCTAGCACAAACAGGTGACCCCCACTGAAACGTCATCCAAACAACAAGTAGAGTAGGCACATCCTGAGCACCAACTTAGGCAGAACAATTTGCCACTCTTCAATGGTCTGTTTGAACAAACTGTGAAGAAGCACTAATCTCGTGTCCGTACTAACCATGTCACACTCTGTACGCTAAAAACGTAACAACTTGGTCGCCGAGGCAGGTAGACCCTACCGCGTCAATTCAGGTTTCTAGTGAGGTTATGAGTCATCAAAGAAAACCATTAATAGACCCTTCTTGAGAAGTCTACCAGGCAACACTGGCGGCCAACATATTTTGGGCACACCTTCCTGCGCAAAGTTCTCACCGAGTGCTGAAGCAGCACTTGTCTCCAACTGATTCGGAGACAAGTATGCGCCGAAAAGTGACATAGTATACATGTGCAATGCTTGCTCGAAATGCACGCACAAAACAGGGCAGCAGCGGATAATTGACGGAGCAGCTACTGGAGGACGCGCACTTTCGAAAAGGGTCTATTGGACACTGTCGACGCAAATGAAAAGATCAACATCTGTTCACTCACTCTTGACGTGGTGTCGGAGACCTTGATGATCGGTTCGTTCTTCCTCAGGTCCCACACGATGCAGCGGGCGGGGAACGTGGACGCCAGGATGTGCTGCACCTGACGGTTCCAAGCAAGGCAGCTGATGTCCTCGTGAGGCTGTTGGACCGAGAAGACAGCCTTAGTGGGTTTGCTCTCCATTTGGCACTAAAGCAAGCAGTTCTGTGACATCCAGAGAAGCATTTCCACCCTACCTGAGACTTCGCACCAGGTGTCATCGGCGCATTCGGACTGTTCAGGTCCCAAATAAATATTTCCGAGTCTGTAGAACCAGACGCCAACAAATTGGCCTGAAAGGAGAAAAGAGTGAAACAGTTAGAAGAACATTGGAGTACCCTACAAGAAATGGCAACTTAAAGGGATAATGAAATTATTTTTTCTACCCAGACTAACTAGTGCTCAGAATAAGCTCGACGTGGTGTGGGAGGTGGAACAAAGCTGCACGCAAAACCTCGTAAAGAGAAAAATTTAAAAAAGAGAAATTGCTGCAGTCAACAGCTACTTGCAGCACTAAAAGTGCCACAGCTCAGTTATAAACTAATCACATGAGAGACGAAAAGACCTATCCCTCCAATCACCAGATTCAGTTTCAAAGTCTCTTTGAACGATTTACTACCCAAGTAAGAATATTAACATTAATATACGTGGTTTAAAGACCTGAACACTAGCCGAGTCAATGCAGCACTAACAGCTACTGGTCTCGAAAACTCTCAAAAGAAAAACTACGATAATATTTGCGACAAAACACCTCACACCTACATAATTACAAAACTTTGTAGAACATACGGGGTGGGAAAAGGCACAACGTAAAATACCGCGGAAGCGACCACTTTGTTCTAACGCCCGCAATTAACATTTGTTAAACTTGGTAGTTCTGCAAATTTTATGCTAAGCGCTCGTTTTGACCCTACAAGCACCCATGTCTAGATTAACCCAGTTTTCAGTAAATTCGGGGTAAACGCTCCCCAGGCATCTTACGATAGCTTCTTTCTAGGTTTAGCATCATTAAGCTAAATTTAACAATGGCAGAAAAATTTTAAATATATATTTGTCTTCATATTAACACTATTTCATACTAAGTGTACAATGCTGTCAAAGCCGCCGGCATGAGCGTGTTGCTGCACTTGGCGTCTCATTTGCTCGAGAGCACAAGCGAAAGAACCGAAGATCAAACCACACGCTCGCGCCAGCGACTGTGACAGCATTGTAAACCCTTAGTATGAAACAAAAGTACAGTGTGACCTAAGGTTGCACATACTTAGCATTTCAATAACAAATGATAGGTAGGCGGGTTCGAATCCTGGCCGAGGTGCCCGCAATCTGACGGAGGCTTATTGCGGAGAAGGCGCCCTGTAACCGAGCTTTTGGTTGCACGTCAAAAGATCCCCAGGTGGTCCAAATTAATACTCAGTCCTCCGCTGGGGCGTGCCAGATGCCCGTCGTTGGTTTGGCACGTAAAACCCCCAAATTTAATTTGACGAATGATAGGCACCTGAAATAAACTGCATGCATAGTCATGTGCATTCCTTCAACTTTTTAAGCTTTTAACTTAAACATGCAACATAAGGGACAAGCTAAGATTGGTTGCTGCCCACTTCGGTATTTGGAAATATAAGAGCCGTTTAGTAGTAGAAAAATTTAACTTTCTTTGGAACTCTTGCCTTAATTTTGTTTTTTACTTCTTGCAACATTGTTCCTCAGACACTTTGGCTTACCTGAAACGTATTAAAATCCAGAGCATACACAGGCCCGGTATGCTTATCCTTCTGACAAATGAGGGTGTCTTCTCCTTTGATAAGCTTTGCGGGATCATAAACGAGGAGGTTTCCCGCATCGGCTCCTCCGACAAGCACTCCGCTGGGCAGGTCACCTTCGGAGATGCCGTGGCAACCCCACGCTACCTTGTGGAATCTTAGCAAAGAAAGGTTCAGACCATCGTTAGGAACACTTCAACAAAGCTTCATGTTTTGAACCGGCGAATGGGTGGCACTGGCTCACCTGTGCTCCGAATTTAATGTCCCAACAAGACCCATGTCCAGTCCCGGTTCGGTTAGGTTAAGGGAATATATTTCTAAGGCAGCCGATGTGCTGAATAAAAGAGGAAAACGGGGCGTTATGCATAGATGTCACAAGCAAGCAAGCATCGGACAAGTGAGATTCAGCATTGTCTGACAATTAACAAATTGAAGCGAGTTTTTAGACTGCCGTCGGGTAAACGTAGCACGCGCTTCCAAAATAGAGACAAGCAACGTAAGAGAGCAATATACGTTCAAAAGAGCCGATGGGTTGAACGCGACAATCCTGAAGCAGCCATGTCCGATTGATTCTCAAAGGAATCATTTTTTATATATATATTTTTAACGCCGCGTACTAGAACATACACTTATGGTATACGACTCAAATACCAAGCACGTTTTAGAAGTAGCTGTCGTGCCATGTGGCATGTCAACGGATACAATCGAAACAGCTGTCACTTCAAATAAATCAATGGGGATCACCAAACCTGAAAGTTGCATCCAATTGCTGCGCCGCTGTGCCAGCCGCGATGTAAATTGGGTGGTGCACGGCAGGAGACCAAGCTATGTTGGCCGTCCTGTCTATCTCCTTAATCTTCATGTTTGTCTGCAAGTGGAGAAAAGGACAGAGGAGGAAATAAACGTCAAGTTGGGTCGGCTAGAACCGTACTTTTTCTGAAGAAGCTCGGTCAGCTGAGTTGTCCAGCAGCCCGCGATTAATTCAGTGTTCGCTACCGCGAAGCATATTATGACTAAATAAAACGTTTAAACGTCCGAATCTGTCGTGAAGGCGCAAGTTTAAATCACAGAAAATTCGAGATCAGTATTATATTACTGACCAAACCTACGCAAAGGACGACGAATCCGACCAGCTAGTTAATGTCGGCAAACAACAATTCGGCACCACTTTCAACCCAGGCTTGGCTGCGCTGGACAACAAATGGTCGCGAATGTGTGCGTTTGTGTGCAGAATTACTTACATTATACCCGATATCCCAAAAATCAGAAAATAACACCGGCAATCAAATCCAACGTGGCACAAAGTTGCGTGTCGCCGCCTTTGAGCCCCCTGGCGGGAACTTCCGTCCGCGGCTGCCCCAAAGGCCCCCCAAGTGCCCAAGTCCGCGAAGTCCCGTCAGCCAACGTCAGCTCTCGGGTTATCTTTGTGAATAACTCTGTCTTGGTCTTTTCTTTTTCAGCGTTGCATGAGGTGTATTGCGATCCCCGTGCTCTCGGAGGCCACATCGTGAAAAAGGCTTTTTTTTTTTTTTTTTTTTTTTTATGTTCGCGCTTTGGATCACATGCTTAATTTCGAGACCGTGGAAATATTTTGTTGAAGGGCCAACTCCCTCGGGATATGTTATGGCGGGAACCCGCACAACTTCAAAGTTTGACAGACCGTGCCTTTGTGAAAAAACAAAAATCCTATTTTTTTTAAATAAATTATTGGTACAATTGAACGCGTTTATGTTGCTGAAGCTTGACCTTTCTTTTCTTGACCGTCACTAGCTAGACCATCCGGCACTCAGGAAAGGGGGGGGGGGGGGGGGGGGGAGGAGGGGGTGGAGGGAGCACAAAAGTGCTTTTCCTGATAGAAAAGTACAAAAAGAAATGAAACCTAACAAGTTTTTGTTTTCGCCACAACATGAATAGATGCAATATCCGTAATAATAATGTTAACTACACAAAATCCCCTTCTCTTGGGATTATCGTCAGTCGTCATCGACACAAAATTATAACAGTTTTTAAAAAGTTGTAAAAGCTTGTGCATCTAGGTGGGTGAGTTATATTGCCAGGGGGACATAATATATAGGCATATAGGCCTGATAATAAAAACGTTCAGCCTTTCCACTCTGATGAAGAAGGAAGAGCAGTGGAGTGGTAGCTTCTGTTCTCGGCGGTGGCTTTCCAGGCGGGCGATATGCTCTTCTTTCGCAAGGGAATCTGAAGCGCTCGACGCAGTGGAACTTCAGGCGATAGCGGCCTCGCGGCGGTTGCAGAACCATTCGCGCTGCTGCGCACATTGCCGCTCGATTCCGTTCCCGCTCTTCTTCCTCTGAAGAAATGTCGCCATCTATGAGAGACGGCAGCAACCAGTTGTCTGGTTGGAGAGGCTGGAAAGGTGGCCGTGATCTATGAGCGACGGTGGCAAGTAGACAACCGGCAAACACAACACTCTGGACAGTTACCGCCATCTATGAGCGACAGCGACAACCAGACTGGTGTGTCGACATTTGTGTGGTACCGGACACAATCCTGGGGAAACTAGCCCCTCATAGCTCCGCTGTAATAATATTTTTTTTGAAAACGAACAAAACGAATGTGAAGTCAGATTTGCCAAAGACACATTGGCATCACTGGCAGCGCCTTACTATCAGTGAGACAAGCAGTGTTGGGAAGTACTTTAAGTACTATACATCGTACTTAATACTCCAAGTAGACTTAGAAAACTTGCACTTTACTTAAATTATTTTTTTTCTGGGTCTTTCCGAGGAAAGTACAATTCCCGACTTCATAGGACATTCCCCAAATTTTGTTTTGTTAAATTTGTATCACAAAATGATGCTTTGTCAACTCCGAAGAAATACTGGGAGGGATATCTTACTTTTAGCAGAAACGTGAGCCAGGAGCGTAGCCAGGAAGGGGGCGGGGGCCGAAATCCAGTCGACCCTATTATATACAGATGCATTTACCCCCCCCCCTCTCCCCCTCTCCGCGCCCCAAGTCGGACAGCCCAGCCACCTCAACCCCCCCTTCCCCCCTTTCCCCGAAAAAAATTCCTGGCTACGCCACTGACGCGAGCAGACGACTCATTGCTCCATTTGTTCTGGGGGCGGCTTCCCCGTAGCTTTTTAAACTCTCGCTGCTTCTCGACGAGGAGAACGTCACAATGTTTTGAGATATCCTCTTTTGTCTTTTCCTTCGACTTGAAAGTTCATTATTTTTTCACCCTCAATCTCAGGTGTCACATTATGATTAATTATCATCAGCTCGCTTGCACACTCACAATTTTGTGATTCTTTTTTTTTTTTTTTCATTAAGGAGAGGACACTTTTTCATGCGAGGATTGCTTGCGGAAATACGGGGCTGACGTCATGCGCTCTCCTAGTACATTGAACCCCCTTGGGTGCAACAATTCAGTGCGAGCGGCGCCAAATTCAGAAGAGGGACTTCTGTATTTGGCTCCATTCCTGAAAATAACTACACTGTGGCCACTTGACTTTATCAAATATTCGCCGCTGTTTTTGAAAATAGGGCATGCACCCAAGCAATGCATGGAAGTTAAAAAAAAAAAAAAAAAAAAAAAAAAAGGTCACTGTAGGGCAGTGGCGTAGCCAAAGGGGGTGTTCACGGGTTGAAACACCCCCCGAAATTTCATGGTTTTCCTCTTTCCTGCGTCAGATTTTTTTTTTCTTTTTCGTTTTTGTGTTTTACCGTTTCGTAAAGGCGTTAGACATTCTATGTGTTTCTCTTTCTGTTTGACAACTCACTATACACCAAGGAACCGGGCCGAGTTGTGCTTCTGAACATTCACGGGAACATCCAAGTCAACCCCGAAAGGGTCCTCTCGCAGCCTCGCTTCTTTCTATCGATCGACGGGGGCTTTGACTAATGTTTAGACCACACAGAATGGCAGAAACTGACACGTTTCTCTGCCACTCTCCCGTAAAACGAGAAGAAACAAGGAACATAATTTAAAGAAATGACCAAGCACATCATTTCTGAAAAACGTGATTCGTGCAGGAACAATTAGCGTGATGCTTTTCTTGCTCGTTGTCCCAGTGCGCATTGCAGTTCTTATGTTTGATCGTATTCTAAAAATAGTTATTATCTGGCAGCGTTCCAAAATGTTGAGTCATTGGCTACCTGAGTGTTTTGCAGAGAAGTGCACGAAAAGGAATATCTTGTGAGCCTGTCTGGATTTTTTTTTTTTTTTTTTTTTGTTCAGAGCACATTATTACGTTTTATGATTGCGTGCTTTTGCTATTTACCTTTAATGCTTCTCCTTTTAATGATCGGACGAAGGAAGTCTCGTGCGTGGGTATGTTTTCCAGAGAACAATGTGGCAAAAAAGGTCGAACTTTTGTCTTCTATGAAACAGAAAAATAGAGACAAATTGTTTGGGCAGTTTTTCCGTTGTTTTGTATGTGTGTGTGTTTTTTGACGGTTTGAGCAAGGAAAAACACTTCCTGAAATACTTTCCTGGCTACGCCACTGGTATGGGGGAATGAAAGGGCACCATGAAAAATTGCGTTAAAATACTTGTACTTTACTTTGAAAGTACATTGTATTGCATTGTACTTTACTTCGAGTACATTGCACCCAGCGTACTTACTACTTTAATTAAAGTACATCACGCCTCATTTACTTGAAGTACCTTTTAGATGTACTTTACCCAACACTGGAGACAAGCAGTATGCAAAAAGAGACATGTGAAATAACAAGACACACAAAGAAATTAAAATAAAAAACATACTATACTCCCCGACAACTTTTCTTGGCAATGCAGTGGAAGGTACAGGCCCGCGTCCCCTCTCCCATTTTGAGTGTACGCAGGCTCTCCTCCTCCCCCATTTCCGGGGAGAGGAGGAGAGCCCGCGTACACTCGAAATGGGAGAGGGGACGCGGGACGCACCTTCCACTGCATTGCCAAGAAAAGTTGTCGCGGAGTATAGAGAACACTTTAAGAACTAACATTTCTCAGAGCCTTCTTGAGCCTGTATTTTGTTTAGGGATGCCGCGAACTTTTTTCGCATCGAAGTTTCGATGATCGAATCAAGCGCTCCGAAAGGTTCGAAAGATTTCGATTTTTCGAATTGTCTACTTTGTAAAATTCGACGGAAGTCGAATTTTCGAACTTGTTAAGCTTAGAAGTTCGACGCTTTTCGAACCGTCAAACTTATTACGCTAGAAAATTCGATATTTTTCGAACTTTCGAACTTATTGCGCTGCAAAGTTCGATGCTTGTCGAACTTCCGAACTTAACTGACCAAAAAAATCGATGAATTTCGAACTTTCGAACTTATTTATCGAGAAAATTCGAAAAGTTTCGAACTTTCGAATCCTGAAAAGTCAGAAGTTCGACGAACTTCGAACTTTTAGGGTAAAAGTTCGACGTTCGTCGAACTTCGAAAGACCGGCGGACGGTTTCATTTGAATTCAAGTAGTGAGGTACATTCTTAATTTTTTTTTCTCGAACTTTTACACGCGGTGCTGCGTTCCTTACGAAAGACAATGCCGCTTGTTTCAATGTTCTGGCATGCTTAGTTTTAAAGAAATAAATTCCCGAAGGGGCGAGGAAGGACGACGGGTTTTTGACGATTATCGTTCGTGCCAGATTTGAAGCGCGCTGTAACCGAAGCTATTTATGGTAGAGATGTTATACTTTTTTAAAGAATGACCTATGTATAGCCTAGGTAAGTGCCGTCTTAAGATGTGATTATTGTTATTCAACGTGAGTTTCGAAGAAATGTCCAAACATGTATCTACATGCAATTATGCCCTAAACTTGATATTTATTTTCGTCTAAGTTGTTTGAGGTATGCCATTTAAATTAACACCACGGACAGTAGATATCATTGCCATCTGCAGAATACAAAATAATGTATTTATTGTTTTTTCACGTAATTAACTCATGGGAGAAGATTTCTAATAGTGTTCAAGTTCAGCACGTCATTAAAAGAAAACATTTTTTTTTTTCGCTTCACGTTCCTGGGACGTGTTTCTTTTAGCCTGTACACATTTTGGTAAAAGAAACTTGTTTCGAAGTTCTGAACCTCTGAATATGCAAGAATACAACACTTCCGGCGAATTCTTGATAGTTTTTTTTTTTTTTTCTCCAGCTTTTTATCCCCGCATTTATTCTTTTTTTTTTTATTTTTTTTTTTTTTTTTTTTTTTTTACTATTGGCACAGGTATTTAGGTTGAAAAGACATAGCTTTGAACTTCCGAACCACTAAGCATGTGACGAGTAGTGCCTTCTGACAACGAGTTTCTAACAATGACCATCTACGCAATCTTTTATGCAGTGAAGAGCAACAGTAGCTATACATATGCATAAATAATTTCAGATTAAAATTAGCTCGACCACGTCCTCTTTCCCCGTA